CAAGAATGCTTTGAAGCTCTCGTACATTACGAGGATAAGGAAGGTTTTTCAAAGCTTCGACTTTCTTAGGGTCAGGTCTTATACCTTGTCCGGAAACAAGATGTCCTAAGAGAAGGATTTCTTCGAAACCAAAGTGGCACTTTTCAAGTTTAACTTTTAAATTGTATTCTTGTAATCGATTGAGAACAAGTTTAGTGTTAACCATTAAATCAGGAAAATCTTTTCCAACGACAGGGACATCGTCGAAATATCCAACGCATTTTTGATAAATTAGTCCATCCAGAACTTTATTCATCAATCTTTGAAAGATAAAGGGTGCACTTGCCAAACCCATTGGCATACGCTTGTAATGGTATTTACCATCCGGAGTAACAAATACGGTCTTTTCTCTTTCACCAGGAGGAAGCTCAATTTGATGGTAACCTTGAGCCAAATCAAATATATTGAAATATTTACCACCTCTAACGACTTCTAGACAGTCGTCGATTCTAGGCATGGGATAGCGAGGGACTTTTGTGATTCTATTTAATTTTCTGTAGTCGATAACCATACGAAAACTTCCGTCAGGTTTAGGGACTAGGAGGGAAGGGGATCCACCAGGAGCAGTACTATGCTCAATGATGTCATTGGCTAACATTTCGTTAATTATTTTCTTGAATTCGAGTCTTCGATGAAGTGCGCAATTGTAGGGTTTCTGATCAGGAATTTCTTGGGTATCAAGATCAATTTTAACTGGACAAACTGAAGCTGGAACGAGTCCTAAATCATTTTTTGATTGGGAGAAACTCGTTTGAAATGAATCAATTAAATCAGTTAATTGCTCTTGCAATGGTTGAGGTAAATCTGGATTGATTCTAGCTGCTATTTTTTCTCTAAAAGGCTGAATTTTAATTTCTTTTAACTCTTCTGGAGTAATGAATTCGCATTTAGCCATTAATGCAGAAGCGTCCTCAATATCGACAGGGACATGAATGGGTTGAGTTTGCTTTGGCTTGGTGTCGATAATATAATTATTTTCAGTATTATTATCAGGAAGGGTTGTAGTGTTGAAAATTTGTTTAGTTTCATCAGGGGTGCAAAATCGGAAGTAGAAGTTAGGATTGAGAGGTTGTGAATTTGGAGATTCATAACAAGTAGTATCATAATATTCGCCATTAGACTTTAAAGTGAAATAATACAAATGAATAAAAGCATTTCCAATCAGGCAAACGGGTTCAAAGTCTTGGACAATATGAATTCGGAATACTCTTGATTCTTTCATAGCTGGATGCTTGACAATAGCGTAGGCAAAACCTTTAGATGGAACGACTTGTTTTGCAGCGATTCCTTTTAATGCTCTAGCATAAGGGATTATATGAGCGCCAAGTTCATCAGCAAGATTAGCGTCAAGAGCGGATAGCGTAGAACCAGTATCAAGCAATACTCGACCTTCTCGGACCAATTCTCGAGTTGGCTTACAAAGCTTGAATATGGCTTGTGGCATATGGCAAAGATCTAATTCGCCTAATTTAGTTATAAGCGGTATAGCAGGGGTTGATGAAAGTGTCCAAAGAAGTCCTGGGTTTCTCAAAGCATCAGCTTGAGGTTCAGGAGGAAGAGTGATGGCTAAATTTGAAGAAGATGGAGTGGTGTTTGCAGGGGAAGTTGCACTTGGGGGTGCAGTAATTGCTCTTACATTGGAATTATTAGGATTATTTGAATTGTTTGAACGATAATTTGGATTATTTTGGGGTCTAGTTCGACATTGTTGGAGGGTATGACCTGGCTTTTTGCAATAGTTACAAGTAATTGGGTTTGAATTTGAATGAGAGGGTTGATTTGAACGGTAAGGTTGAGTACGATTGGTTTGATTTCGGTTATCAGGTTTTCGTAATAAGTTATGAATAGAGGAAGTTCGAGGAGGTTGAGAGGAATTGGATTTGTTTTTATGATAAGTTTTACTTTGTTCTGCCTCGAAATGTTTACGAATGAGTAAATTAGTAATTTTAGGAAGGTCATCATTGATGCCTAAGGTATTAACTTCAGAAAGGATATAATAAGGAAGGTGATTGAGAAGTTCATGTTTGAATATATCTTCAGTATAAGTTCCTACGGCTTTTGTAAGGGAAGTGCGTAATTTCATCAAAAACGTATTAGGATGATCAGTTGGATTATATTTGAGCTGTCTTAATTGAAACTGTGCAGAATACTGCATTGCAGGAGTTTTAACAGCATTGACTAACGCAGCTAAATACTCTTTATAAGTACTGATAGTTGGATCTAAAGTTTTAGAAACAGCTAAAAGTTCATGGGCTAAACCTTTTTTAAAACATCTCAATCGAGTAGCATCATCAACGTTCTCTTGAGCGAGTCGTTGTTCTGTATTTGTAATGAAATCAATAGCATCTTCTCCTTTTTTAAATTCAGTAACATGAGGATCTGGTTTCAGATTTGAAAGAGCATTCAGAAGGAATTGAGGATTTACTTGGGGTTCACTAGCTGTAGAGGAAGGTGAAGGATGGAATAATGGAGGAGGTTGATTGTTTTGTTGGGCTATGGGATTGATATGAGCACCTAAAGTGTTCAAGATCTCTAAGAGTTTTCTCTGAGATTCAAGAGGGATAGGGATTGAACAAATATCCGCATAAGTTATGCGTAACATAGCCTCACGATCTCGACCTAATGATCTTAGTATGGTCTTTATTTCGTCTTCTGTGAGTCCATTATGTCTGCATTGAGTCATCCAATCTGGAACGGCAAATTGAGTAACAGTAGAAGTGGGAAGACATTCGATGTCATCATCAGTTAATTGTTCACCAACAGATAATAAGTGCGTTTTTATGCACTCGAAGAATCTTCGTTTTGCCAGACATGGAATAGGGACGAGAACACTCCAACCTTGTAGAGTTTGAGTCATAGTTTCAAGATTCATTTCATAGACGATTGGTTCATCGGCTGCAACATTGAATCTTCTTCTTCTCTGAACTGCCATAGTGAATAAGTTGAATTGTGAAAGATGCAAGGAAAGTAAATCGTAATATCACTTGAGTGATGGTAAAGTTGAATGCGAAAGTTAAATTGTTGAAAGTTGAAATTTGAAGGAACTTGAGTTTAATTGTTCTGGTTAAAGTTGAATAGTTAAAGTTGAATTGAATTTTAATTGAGTTCAGAATTGGAAAGTTATTGTTCAGTTGAAATTAAAGTTGAAATATTCTTGAAGAATGAGTTTAAAGTTGAAGGTAATTCAAAGATTCTTTGAGGAATTGAATTAGTTGAACAGAGTTCGGAATTGTGTAAGGATATTCTTAAAGGAATAACTGGAAAGAGACTTGAGACAGTTTTACCTTGAAAGAGTTATATGGAAATAACTATTGTGATCCTGATTATGAAGAGATTATGGAAAATCGTTGAATTGAATTTGAATTAAATTTGAAGGAATAGTTCTTAAGAACTGAATCAGGCACATACAGGGCACGGCGAGTCCGATATTCTAGAGTTTGAAGATAACACAAGTGTAACCTTCAGGAAGGTCAAATTGAAACAGAGTCTTGGAAACACACACAAATCGTAGGCACAGAACTTAGCGATCCTGCCGTGGTCGCCAAGTGAAAGGTTTGTTACGGAAGTAATCTGATGAGAAGACTGCGAACTTGCTTTCACTACAAGTTTCTAAGGTCGCATCTAGGATCACTAAAGATCTACACCTTAAACTTATCTGCGTTTCAGGATATCTCATAAGAGATGAAAGGCACAATTCATAAATGAAATACTTTGAGGTATCTTTTAAAGACTTTTATTGAATTAAATTGGAACTGAATTTAAGAATAACTTGAGTTGTTTGAAATGATGAATATTTCTTAAGAAATACAATGAACAGAATTACTTTGAAAAGGATATTATTTGAGTAATTAAAGAGTGTGACTTACGGTAAGGAATATTGTAAGTAAGTGAAAAGAATGAATAATTTTGGTTTTTATAACCAATGGTAAAACAAAAGAACAATTTTTTGGAGGGAATGAAGAAAGTAAATTAGTTTCTCTGTCGCAATGATGTCTGGTTTTGGTTCTTTACCAGTGACCAGTTTTTTACCTCTTATCTCAATTAACACTATCAAGCTTGTAGCCTTCAACTCTTACTTACATGTCTTAAGACATATATCTCACGAGAGATAGCTGTAGCTTTATTAGTGCTTTTAGGATTAGATGAAGGTGAAACAAAAGTTGAAAAATTAGCTGAAAAAGAAAGAGATTTTTACCAGTCTTTCTTAATGGCACTTAATTTTCAACCTTAAGTTTTGGTCAATTCTTAACCTGAATTGTGGTTAAAATTACAAGTTTTTAGAGCGACTTAGGAAGGGATTTACTTAGGATTTGGACATCTGAGAAGGGCATTATTTTCATGGTTAACATAGTTTTCAAGAACTGTAATAAATATATTGTTTAAACAATGAATGATTAACTGAATTAAGATGAATTAAATGAAATAAAAAGGGAATGATTCAAGAGATTGAGATGAAAATGGAAATGAATTGAATGAATTTACTAAGGCAGAAATCTACCCTTCATTAGCTCGTTTAACAATTAAATGGCTCCATTCAACACAAACTGAAATAAAAGTATTGAATTACTAAAATGTTGATTTTCTCAATCATCATTCAATTGCCTTCAGAGCAACACAGCAAGACTTTACATTTAAAAATCATTCAAATACTAATGATTATGGGTCAAAAACATGATTCATGATTACCTTTAAAACAGGCTATTAAATGATACAGGTTATTGAATTGGTCAAAAATGGCGAGCAAACAATCGTCGGGAAGTTCATTGAACTACTTGTCAGTACTACTGATTAGTCTCTCTCTCTCTTCAACTATTTTTCGGGTTAAGAGTTAGAACTTTGTGAATTTGTAAGGCATAAAAACAAAGTTCATTTGTTGAATTAAATTCAATCAAGGTCAAAGTTTGAAATTCAATCACCGTGCATACAGTTATGGTACCAAATTTTACATGTAAGCCACTTGATCTGATTTAACTTTTCATGGTTCTATTAATCAATTAAAGGCTAAAGATGATCTCTAATACACAGTATTCCTAACAAATACATATTGTATATTACTAAATATGTGGTTTTCAATAATCAATAGGGATCATTAAATATGGAAGGTCCAAAAAATCTTTAAGAAAACAATGTTTCATGAAATCAAAGCCTCGGCAAATTCTCTGTCCTTTAGTGTACAGTTGAGGCCAATCTGATTTGATTTCATTGATTTGATCCCAATTGAAGTAAAACTTGATTGAACATCCATATCTTTTACAATGATCTTGAACATAATCAGCAGCTTTTTGAGTGACTCCACGACATCCACGAACATCAAGTAGCACTAAATTGGGTAAAATATGAACCAATTGCTCGATATGTTCATCTTTTAAGTCATTTAGTTTCCTCAACGCAAGGTGTTTGAGATTTGGATATTTCATTGACAATCTTTTTAGATCATTCCAGTCAATTCCACCATTGTAATTCTGTAAATAAAAATCAATTACTTTATATGGATAAACTTTGGACAGATGACCATCTAATGATGACGGGACATAACCTTGTTGATTATAATCTGGAAAAGATCCAATGAAGTTGGATATTCCGAGAATATTTCCAAAAAACAATTACATTCCATTTCAAACGGCATTAATACTTACAAATTCTATGGCTAAATCTTGCAAACATTCGTGTTTTATTGTTTCATCAACAAACAAGCATCTATTCGTCGTGAAAATATACGCACTTTGTAAATTTGGACATGAATCCATGAACTGGAAACCATAAAAAATGATGTCATACGGACAAAAGGTGTCAAGTTCAACTATTTTAAGCTTTTCCAATACTGGACCATGGTAGTATCTGTCTGGATAAGTATCTTGAATATGTAGATGTAGTCTTTCAAGATTCGGGAAATTATGTGCGTCTCTTGCGAAGTCCCTTAGAGTACTCCACCAAATGAGAAGTTGTTTTATACCGGAACCATTTGGTAGTATATTTGACTTTCGAGACAAACACACCATTTCGAGTTTACTACAATATTTTTCTATTGGTTCTGAAAGTGAATGGATCAATCCTTTCAAAGATTTTTGATGTCTGATAAATGCAACAATATCTTCTAACTTTACTTTTCTTAAGAGTGTATAAGAAAATTGGGCAATCTGTGTGGAAAAGATAGATATGAGAAAACTAATATTCAATGAAAATACTAAAAGGTATTTAATTAACAATATCAACCAACTTTTACATTTGGAAATAATGTGCTCAGACAGGTTCCATCAATCCGTTTTATTCCTTCATAATAATAAACACAATCGTATTTATAATTAGGGTACTCTGAAAATATAAATTTTGTGCGGTTGAGAAATTGATTACTGAATCATTGAAAATTGAAATCTTACCCAATATATATTTAACTTTTTTAGTTCGCTTAGCAATTAATTGGCTCCATCCAACACACACTGAAAGAAAATTTTTATTTAATCAAAATATTTAGTGTTCATTTGGTCAATCCTTGTTCAATTGCCTTCAGATTACTTCAACATGACTTGACATCTGTAAAAATATTCAAATGCTGCGCCTCAACAATCAGATGATTGTGAGTAATGTTATGATTACAGAATAACAAAAGATGTTGAAACTTTTAAAATACTCAGAGCGCGAAGCTATTTGACTGACGAGAGACCCTCTCTGACCAATTCAGCAAACCGTCGACTAGGTTGACTTGAAAAGTCCATCACTGAAGGTATGCAAAAGGTATGTGTCACAAAAAACAGACTCTCGTCAAATCGAAAGTAGACTCAAATTTCAAAGGGACATGAAAAAATTAGCGCCTTATTAATAGATGCATGAGAAGCCGCATTCGGCCACAACTGAGCATCGAAGTTTAAACTATTTTTGCTGGTTTCTTATAAACTGACAATCATACTACTAAATGTGCTCCTCATAAGATATTGTAGTAAGATATTATAAAAAGTAAAAAATGCAACATTGCGTAGATGAAACTCAAGAACCACTGCCCGTATCCTTTTCAGGCTTGGTAATGAAATGGTGATTTTTGTGATCTATTTCAAATTGACGACTGTCAATTCTCAAGACACAGCACTTTCGTTGGGAATAGATGATTTTGTGTTCAACAAATAAACAAGATTCGTTCTTACCTTTGAAGCAGTTCATTAAATCGTCCAGGTTATTAACACAATCAAAAATGGCGAGTAAACAATCATCGGGAAGTTCGTTGATCAACATTTTAAATTATTTTTAACTGAAATTTTTCTTGACTAGTGATTGAAGTGAAAAGGGTTTAAAGACTTACAACAGGTTTGTTAGTGGTTAATCACTAGATTTGATTTATTAGAATCTTTAGATTCTTTTAATATTATCTTTTCTTGTAGTTCACATAGATGGCAGTTGTATTTTCAGATTCATTTTCTCTTTAGATTCTGAATAATTTTCATTTCTATCTTTTGCATTTTTTCATCAATAGTTTTTATTTTTATTAATAAAAGGTTGATTCGATCATAACTGATTTCAATCCAGTCCGGTCAGCTGTACTCAAACACTAAGTTTATCATACGCTGAAGAATATTCATTATTAATTGAATTAGGCCATTTTTCTCCGGTATTCAATCACATTATCTTAAAGCTTATTATAAATCTAATGATTGGTCAAAGAATCATTACTGTAGTGGTTACGATTCTCGATGTAATGAGGCTCAAAGTTTTAATGCCAATGGCCAAAATGAAGAGAACTGTCAATAAAATGAAAAATTGTTCGATCAACCATGTTCAGCAAATATTTTTATCGACTAAAAATGAGTTTCAACTATTACTGCCACTCGAAATCAGCACATTTTCTGGTCGACCATGAGAAGTTATAGCGAAAAAATGATTTCCTTATCCACTTTTGAACAAGATCGACAAAAAATTTGTTCATTTCTAAATCCTATTTTGCAGAATTATTAATTCTAATAATTTACTTTTGTTTCTGAATGAATCTGTTTTTGTTCAGTAATCAACATAAAAAACTAAAGAAAATTAAGTCAGTGAAATGAACAAGCATGAAAATCTCGTATTCTCGTCCTGCTGAGATTTCCATTGTTCTTTGCATTGTTATAAAGCGGATTTGTGTTTGAAAGATTGTAAGTCCACCAGCTTTTCTAAAGGGAAATTGAGGGAAATTTCAACGATTTTAAAAAAGTAAGAGTTCGATCAGGATTTTATGTGAATTGTTATTTCTTCGCAAAGTAAATAATATTAAGATTAAAAATAACAATAAGAATGAAAGGTAGCGGAAATAGGAATCAAGAAATATGGAAGATGATAAAAATCTTTAAGAAAGCAATGTTCCATGAAATCAAAACATCGACCCATTTTTTCAGTTTTAGTTGATAACTGAGGCCAATCTGATTTGATTTCATTGAAATTATCATCGAAGTAAAATTTGAGTGATCTTCCATACCTTTTACAATAATCGGTAACATAATCAGCAGCTTTTTGAGTGACTCCAGGACATAAAAAAATATCAAGTAGCACTAAATTGGGTAAAATACGAACCAATTGCTCGATATGTTCATCTTTATGCTCCCAGTGGACCGTAACGAAAGATGTTTGAGATTCGGATATTTCATGATCAATCTTTTTAAATTATTCCAGTCGATTTGGTTATTTCTATGCTGTAATTATAGAATCAATGAGTTTTTGTGATAAATCTTGAACAGACGAACCTTTTATGATGTAAGTTAACCTTGTTGATTATAATCTGAAGTAGATCAAATAAATTTTGATATCCCGAAAATATTTACTAGAAAAGGCAATCGAATTGATACTTACAAAATCTATAACTAAATCTTGCAAAAATTTGTGTTTTAATGTTTCATCGACGAAAAAACGATGAGAGTTCAAACGAAGATGTGCACTTTGTAAATTTGGACATGAATCCATGAACTGGAAAACATAAATCACTGAATCACTATTAGAGTATAAGGCCAGTTCAAGTATTTTAAGCTTAGTCAATACTGGACCATCGTAGTATCTGTCTGGGAATGAATCAATAGCATCAATGTGTAGTCTTTCAAGATTTGGGAAAAAACGTGATTTTCTTTTGAAAAAATGGTAAGCATTCTGAATGTGTAATTGTTTTAAACTTAAACAATTCTGTAGAAAGTGCGGCTCAATAAATTTGGTGGAAAGCATCTCGAATTTATCACAATATTTTTCTATTTCTTCACGAGATGAAGTTATTATTGCTTTCAAAGATTCTAGATTTCTGACAAATGTGACAACATCGCCAAAATTTACTCCAAAATAGAAATCCTTTGAAAATTGAACAATCTAAGCGGGTAAAATAAATATTTATAAGTATCCAATGAAAAGATCGAGAACATCGAGAAGAGAAGTTCGATTAATAATACCATATTGTATCAACTTGCGATTAAATTTGGAAACAATAGGCTCAGGCAGGTTACATCGATCCGACATCTTCCTTCATAATAAACATAATCAGTTGAGAACTCAGTCTTAGCAGGTTCAGCTGAAAATATAATTTTTAAATGATTAGAAATTGATTACAATGAGAATTGAAATCTTACCCATGAAATATTTAACTTTTTTAGTTCGCACAGCAATTAAATGGCACCATTTAACACAAACTGTAAAATTTTTTATTGAATTACCAAAAGTGTTCCTTTGCTCAATCATTATTCAGTTTTATTCAGAAACAACTCAACATAACATTTGTAAAAATATTCAACTACATGACTAATGATCATAAGATACAGTAAGGTGTTTCATTCAGATGAAACTTTCATAATTTTTGTTAATACTCAGAATTCAAAGATATTTACTCATGCAAGACTTTCTCTGGTCAATCAAAAAAATTGGCGATTCCGCCATCTAACTCATAAGCCACTGAACGTAACCGTGACGAGGGTCAATTTTTCGTGAAACACCACTTTCATTGGAAATAAATGATTTTCATTGCAAATTGATTCATAATTACCTTTATAGCAGTTTATTAAATCATCCAGGTTATTTATTTTATCAAAAATGGCGAGCAAACAATCATCGAGAAGTTCATTTAAAACAAAATAGGTAAAAATACAGTTTTCACTTGAGTCTGGTAAATGCGAAGAAGAGCGTAAAAGACAAGAGTAAAGTAATTTTGCAACAATATTACATTCTCGAGTAATATTATCGATACTCACACGTTTTTTTATATTTTTTACACAAAAAACACTTTAAAAGACAATCTTGGCCAAAGCAAACTTCTGATATCGACCAGAAGATGAGTCAATATGATCGATACATTGAAAATAAAATTTTACTCTCGATCGATCAATCATATCACAACAACTCTTTATTTTTTATATCAAGTCGTATTCATCATTGACAAGCTATACCATGAAATTTGCCAGTCTACCTCATTCACCTTACCACAAATATAAAGACCTTAACAGTACGCTTCGTAGGAAAGCAAAAGCCTTTAGTTTAAATACAGATTTCAGCATCGAGGCCAAAGTTGAAGCTTGATTGGGGTTTCACTCGTAATGAATAGGAATCAAGAAATGTGGAAGTCGATAAAATTCTTTAAAAAAACAATGTTTCATGAAATTAAAGCCTCGACTGATTCTTTCGTGTTTAGTTGATAACTGAGGCCAATCTGATTCCATTTCATGAACATTTCCTTTGAAGTAAAATTTGATTGATCGTCCATGTCTCTTACAATAATCTTGCACATAATCAGCAGCTCTTTGAGTGACCCACAAACACCCACTAAAATTGAGTAACACTAAATTGGGTAAAATGTGGACCAATTGCTCGATATATTCATCTGTTATATTCCAATTGGAACTCAACGAAAGATGTTTCAGATTCGGGTATTTCATAAACAATCTTTTTAAATTATTCCAGTTGAATCCTTCATCACCAAACTGTTAATAAAAAATAAATTAGATTACGTGCAGTAATTTGAACAGATAACACTTCCATGTCATAACCTAATTTTGTTGATTTTAATATGAAATAGATCGAATTGAGTGGATATTCCGAAGTGGGCTTATTACTTACAATATGTACAACTAAATCTTGTAAACATTCGTGTTTCAATGTCTCATCAACAAACAGGCCAAAAGTATTCATGAAAATATGTGCACTTTGTAAATTTGGACACAAATCCATGAACTGAAAAACATAACAAATGCTCGTATTAGGAAGACAAAAAAATTGCGATTCAAGTATTTTAAGCTTTTCCAATACTGGACCATCGTAGTGCTTGTCTGGCGCTAAACGATAAATTTTGTTAAGCAAACATTTCTCACTAAAATATTTATATAATTACCCTTAATATCAATATGTAGTCTTTCAAGATTCGGGAAATAAGATAAATCAGGTTTGAATGCATCAATAGAATCAACCCCAAAGTACAATTGTTTTATACTGGAACCATTTCGTATAGCGATTAGCTCATAGGAATTGCAGGATAGCATTTCGAGTTCATCACAATATTTTTCTATTGATTCACCAGATGTATTGATTAATCCTTTCAAAGATTTTTGATTGCTCACAAATGTAACAATATCTTCGAATTCCCCTTTCCTTGTGAGTCCCCACGACAATTCAGCAATCTAAGTGGATAAGATAAATAAGAAAACTAATAATTTGATATATTTATATTCAATGAAACATTCAAGCAGAATAATAAGATTAATAATATCGACCAACTATTAAATTTGTAAATAATGTGCTGAGACAGGTTACATCAATCGGATCTTCGTCTTCATAATAAACACAATCAAATGAATAATCAGGAACATCACGGCCATGTTCAAGTCGATGATCATAACGATACTCTGTAAACATAAATTTGTGCAATTAACTAATTGATCAAAATGAGAATAAGCATTGGTGAAACTTTAATCTTACCCATAAAATATTTCACTTTTTTAGTTCGCTCAGCAACTAAATGGCTCCATTTAATACACACTGAAATTAAATGATTATTGAATTACTAAATTTAGTGTTCCTTTGCTCAATCATTATTCAATTGCCTTCAGAACCAAAAAACATGGCAAAACATGTAAAAAATATTTAAATACTGCGCCTCAACATTCAGATGAATGATTGATGCAATGATCAACATATAACAAATGTAGACACCGAAGTTGATCGATACTTGCATGGACTGACTGACTAATGAATTTATAGCGACTGAGAGTCAGTCACTGACTGACTATTAGTTGTGAGTTGATTCATTTTATCATTTTGATCACATGATATTGAGTCAACGTAGTCAATAGTCGATGAACATATTGACTTCGACTTAGACGAAATTTCATCGACTGACTGATTTACTACATCAACTAACTTCAACGTCCAAATTAAAGATTTTTCATTCAATTGAAACTTTTATAATAAATTATTAGATCTGAGAGGTTCATGAAAATAGACGTTGAGGAAAAATAACATTGAGTGAAGGAAAAAACTTTTTTGTTATTTAGGTTGTTAGCTCATTGTTGAACCAGGATTTTATGTAAAACTGTCTTTTGAGTAAAGAGTTTTGTGAAAAAAACTGGTTCTTAACTGTACAAAAGCGGATCTAAGTTACAATTTTGTAAATTTCGACCAGAGAAATCTATTTGTACAAATGGGTACATTTTAAGAACCCCTCGACACACACTTTCAAACACCTTTACTACTGATGTAATTATAGATACAGATGTTTTCATGTGACGATTATCAATTTTTCTTGACAAACCCTTGCAATGGGAATAGACGATTTTTATAATGTAAAAATGATTAGTAATTACCTTTATAGCAGTTTATTAAATCACCCAGGTCATTCATATAATCAAATATGGAGAGCAAACAATCATCGGGAAGTTCATTGATCAACATTTTAAATAAATTAGGTAAATTTCTGTTTTCACTTGAGTCTGGTGATTGAGTGAAAAATTCAATGCTGAATCACTGGATCTGATTGATCATCAGAATGTATCATTTATTATTGTTCCCCTGTAGTTCCCATAGATGTCAGCATTAGATTGAGATAATTTGTTGGATTCATTTTCATGAGAAAAGTTGGGTTAAAGTTGAAACTTCGATCGAAAACAGATTTTTTAATGAAAGTTATTTGTCTGATTTAACTTTTCAAGTCCACCAGAAAATATATTATAATTTTTTAATTGATTAAAGAAAGGAGATTTTCAAGCTTTGAGTGGGCTTGCAAGGTCAAAAATATATTATTGCATGTGTTAAGTATGTGATTTTCAATAATCAATAGGAATCAAGAAATTTGGAACGCGATGAATAAATTTAAGAAAGCAGTGTTTCATGAAATCAAAGCCTCGACTAATTTTTTCTTGTTTAGTGGATAACTGAGGCCAATCTGACTCGATTTCACTGAAATTCTCATCGAAGTAAAATTTGATTGATCTTCCATATTTTTCACAATAATCTTTAATATAACCAGCAGCACTTTGAGTGATTTCCTCACATACAGTAACCTGGAACAACACTAAATTGGGTAAAATGTGAACCAATTGCTTTATGTGTTCATCTTTTATGTTACGTGCGCCCCTCAACCCAAGATGTTTGAGATTCGGGTACTTCATAAGCAATCTTTTTAAATCATTCCAGTTGATTCGAGAAGGACCGCCCTGTAAATATAAAATCAATTAGTTTATCTTGATAAATTTTGAACAGATGACACTTCATTGTTGACTTTGATTATTTTAATCTAAAATATATCTGAATAAAACTTTATATTCACAAAAAAGCGATCTCAAATTGAATCAATACTCACAAAATCTATAACTAAATCTTGTAAACATTTGTGTTTGATTGTTTCATCGACAAAAAATCGATGAGAATCCAAGAAAATGTGGGCACTTTGTAAATTCGGACATGAATCCATGAAATGGAAACCATAGCAAATGTCTGTATCATAAGTAAATGTAAAGCCCAGCTCAACAATTTTAAGCTTTTCCAATACTGGACCATCGTAGTAACTGTATGGGGCTGAACAATAGATTTTCATTAGCAAACATTTCTGATCAAAATATTTATATAATCACCTTCATTACTAACAATATGTAGTCTTTCAAGGTTTGGGAAATGATGAGCATCTCTTTTGAAATCATCTAGAGTACAAATCAGAATGTACAATTGTTTTATACTCGAACCATTTTGTATAATGCTTGGATCTAAAGTATCGACGGATAGCATTTCGAGTTTATCACAGTGTTCTTCTATTGGTCTAGTAAAAAAATATCCTAGTAATAATCCTTTCAAAGATTCATGGTTTTTGACGAATGCAACAATATCTTCAAATTCCACTTTTCTTTCCATTTTATGAGAAAATTCAGCAATCTAAGTAGAAAAGATAAGTAAAAAATCAATGCAAATGCAAAAAGAGGTTCGATTAATATCAACCAACTTTTAAATTTGGAAATAATGTGCTCAAACAGGTTACATCAAACGGACCTCTTCCTCGATAATAGACATAGTCAGATGAATAGTCAGGATCCTCTGTAAATATAAATTTGTAAGATTAATAAATTGATCATGACTTGAATAAGCATTAATGAAAATTTGAATCTTACCCATAAAATATTTAACTTTTTTAGTCCGTTTAACAACTAAATGGTTCCATTTAATACACACTGAAATGAAATTTAATGAATTGAATTAAATTCAGTGTTGCTCTGTCATTATACAATTGCCTTTATACATTACAAACATCACATCACACAAATCTGTAAAAATATTTAAATACTGCGCCTCAATAGTCATATGGATAAAACATTTGATACTCAGAGCGCGAAACTAGTTGACTTATGCAAGACTTCACTCTCGTCAATAGTATTGACTCAATACAGCAAATCATCGACTGCGCTGGCATGAAAAATTTCTGTGTCACGTAGTATTGACTCTCGTCAAATCGAGAATAAACTTAATTTACGAAAAAAGGCATTGAAAAACAATATTTTGTCCAATCAAAAGTTGAGTAGGAATTTAGTTGCGTTCACAGCTGCGATTCAAAGTTGAAATAATTTTTGATGGTTCATTACAACCAGGCTCTGATACTTGCAAATTTACTCCTAATCCACAATCGGGTTGATTTAATTGAATAACCACTGAACGAATCTTTTTCAAACTGGTAGTAAATTAGATGAAATTAAGGCATATTTACCTTTGACGAGAGCCAGTTTTTCGTGACACACCACTTTCAATGGAAATAAAAGATTTTCATTATACAAAGAAACATAATTACCTTTAGAGCAGTTTATTAAATCACCCAGGTAATTCATCTGATCAAAAATGATGAGCAAACAATCATTAGGAAGTTCGTTGATCAACATTGTAAAAATAAATTAAACTATAATAGTTTTCACTTGAGTCGAGGGATTTGGTAAGAAAATGAAAAAGAATTATTTTACAGTAATTTGTCAGTGGTGAAGCACGAGTAAACTGAAGCATTAGAGATCATTGATGCTAATTTTATTCTTCTCTACATAGATGTCAGCAGTGTTACGTTAATTTCATTTTAATCTCAAACTTTAATTTGATTCTTATATCAATAGCTATTATTTTTATATTTATAAATTGCTCATGTAATCATGACCTTTTGTAAACGTCTTCTCACTGAGTAACATGCAGTCAATCGACTGAAAATAACATAATTTTTAATGAATCGTCTAAATGATATAATAAATGCAAAAATAGCAAATTTTGTCACATTGAGAAGATCCATTTCGGATTGAGTAAAGACTGTTCAAAGGGATGTACGGAAAACTGTCTCTTAATTTCATCAATCACCTCATTCACATTCTCACAAATACTTATAAAGTATAAAGATAATACTGTATAAAGACCTTAACAGTGCACTTCGTCAGAAAGCGAAAGCCCTTTTCTCATGTGACACAAATAAATCTCCTTCATCAAATAGACTTCATTTACAGAATCACCATTACAACCCTCATATTCATCACACATCTCACTCAACGTTGATTATCATCAGAAAAATTGTCCTGTGTTTCCTAGTCCACTATTAAACAAGAACAAAAATTTGTTAATTTCTAAATCATATTTTGAAGAATTATTAATTATAATGAATTTTTTTCTCACTGCTTTTGTTCAGTAATCAACATAAAAAAATGCAAGAAAATTAAAAGTGAGCGAAATTAGAAACACGAAAATTAGCATTATTTTACCAGCATCTAAAATTTTAAGAAAGATCGTTCGAAATCATGGCGAAGTACAATTTATTCACATTTCACAATTTGCCATTCTATTCATTCTGAAGCCTCTATAATCAAAAAAGTTATCTACCGCTTCTTAATTTGATATGAAAGTTCCGTTTCTTTAATCACAGAGACAACTCTTTAGATTAGACAATAGATATTATTCATGCGTATGTGATTTCAATGATTACTAGACATCAAAACGTTTCAGGGGATATTTAAGAAAGAAACTTTCCATGAAATCAAAGCCTCGGCAAATTTCCTGTCGTTTAGTGTACAACTGAGGCCAATCTGATTTGATTTCATGGTGATTCCTATCGTGGTAAAATTTGGTTGATCTTCCATTTCGTTCAAAATAATTTTGGACATAATTAGCATCTTCTAGAGCCATTCCATGAGCTCCGCGAACATCAAATATAACCAGATTGGGTAAAATGTCAAGCAATTGCTTGATATGTTCATCATCTATGCGACGTAGATTCCTCAACGCAAGATGTTTGAGATTCGGATATTTCATAAGAGCTCTTTTCAGATCGTCCCAGATTTGGCCATAATGTACCTATAAGTATAAAATCAATTAGTTTAAATGGACAAACAGACGACCTTTCCAGCCTGGCAAAACCTAAGATTCATGATTGCAATCTTTAATAGATCCAATAAATTTGTGTATTCCGAAAATATTTTTCACATTTTGAATTCAATTAATACTTACGCAATATATCACTAAATCTTGCAAACATTCGTGTTTCAATGTTTCATCAACAAGCACGGTACTAGAATTAATGGTTATATGGGCACTTTGTAAATTCGGACATGAAGCCATAAACTGGAAACCGTAAAAAGTCGTACCAAGATTGATAACATTTGAGTGCATTACAACTACTTTGAGCTTTTCCAATACTAGACCATCGAAGTAACTGCCTGAGGATGCAAGATGGATTTTTATAAGTGAACATTTCTGAAGAAAATATTTATATAATCACCATTAATGAGAATTAGTAATCTTTCAAGATTTGGCAAATATTGTGCGTCTTTTTTGAAATCAACTAGAGTATCATCTCGAATACTTAATTGTTTTAGACGGATGCAATTTTGTAACAATGTTGTGTTCTGAATTTCGACAAACAGTCATCTGCACAAATTTTGCATCAAAATTTTCAAAAAATCCTCAGTAGACCTTAATTGCTGACAATTAAGTGGATTTTTTGCCGAATTTCCCTGGCGCCCTCTAGTGTTTTTGCCCACAGTAATCATAGACCTCGACACAAATTTTTAAAATATTAGTTTGTTCAAACTGCAATTAGATGATTTCTGATTTAGAATATACCGCAATTTTTTGTATTTATGTTTAGGATACTCTTATAAAGACATAGTAAGAATTTGGTCTTAATCCAGTTTGTAAATCCTGAGAAATTACTTGTTGAAATAATTTCCATTTTTACTTACCATTAGTTAGAACGCCTGGCTTAAAACAATCGGTGGCTAGCATTTCGAGTTTACCACAACATTCTTCCATTGCTACACATGAAGTGATCATTACTTTCAAAGGCTCATGTTTTCTGACAAATGCAGCAATATCTACAGATTTTACTTCACTTTGGAATCTATCAGAGAATCCAGCAACCTGAATGGATGAAATAAAAAAGAAAATATTCAATGAAAATTAAAAAAGAGATTTGATTAACAATATCAACTTACTATTAAATTTGGAAATAATGTGCTCAAACCAGCTACATCAATCAGATCTCTGTCTCTATAATAAACATAATCAGGTGAATAATTAGGTCTACGAGCACGATAATCTGAAAATAAAAATTTCTTCGATTAGTAAATGAATATAAATGTGAATAAATCTTCATGAAAATTTGAATTCTTACCTGTAAAATATTTAACTTTTTTAGCTCGTTTAACAATTAAATGGCTCCATTTGACACAAACTGTAATATAAGTATTGAATTACTAAAAGTGTTGATTTTCTCAATCATCATTCAATTGCCTTCAGAGCAACACAACATGACTTTACATTTAAAAATCATTCAAATACTAATGATTATGGGTCAAAAACATGATTCATGATTACCTTTAAAACAGGCTATTAAATGATACAGGTTATCGAATTGGTCAAAAATGGCGAGCAAACAATCGTCGGGAAGTTCATTTATCAACATTTTAAAATAAATATTAATAACTAAAGATTTCACTTGGATCTGGCGATTTTGAGCAAAAGGGTAAAAGACAAAGAGTAAAGTGTTGCACAATGATCTCTTTCTTAAGTTCCCTTCAAACGGCACGTTACTAGGCAACTTGAGGCTAGAAAAAGAGAGTTTCTTCTCTGTCTCTATTTCTCTTTCTTTTTCAAAAACAAAAAGTAAAAATAAAAACAGCAAGGGTGAAATCGTTAGACTAACAAGGGAACCTTGCGAACTGTTAATATAGTTGAAGAGAGAGAGACAGTCTGAGTAGTCTCTCTCTCTTCGACTATTTTTCGAGTTAAAAGTTAGAACTTTGTGAATTTGTAAGGCATAAAAACAAAGTTCAGTTGTTGAAGTAAATTAAATCGAGATCAAAGTTTAAAATTCAATCACCGTGCATACAGTTATGGTACCAAATTTTTACATGTAAGTCACTTGATCTGATTTAATTTTTCATGGTTCTATTAATGAATTAAAGGCTAAAGATGATCTCTAATACACAATATTCCTAACAAATACATATTGTACATTACTAAATATGTGGTTTTCAATAATCAATAGGAGTCAAGAAGTATGGAAGGACAAAATTATCTTTTAGAAAACAATGTTTCATGAAATCAAAGCCTCGGCAAATTTTCTGTCGTTTAGTGTACAGCTGAGGCCAATCTGATTTGATTTCATGTCGATTTCCATCGAAGTAAAATTTGGTTGATCTTCCATTTCGTTCAAAATAATTTTGGACATAATTAGCAGCTCTTTGAGTGACTTCACGACATCCGCGAACATCAAATATAACCAGATCGGGTAAAATGTGAACTAATTTCACGCTATGTTCATCTTTTAATTTTTTAGTCTCCTCAACGCAAGGTGTTTGAGATTTGGATATTTTATTGACAATCTTTTTAGATCATTCCAGTCGACTTTGCCAATGTAACTCTGTAAATATAAAATCAATCAGTTTATATGGATATACTTTGGATAGATGACCATCTAATGCTCACGGGACATAACCTTGTTCATTATAATCTGAAAAAGATCCAATGAAGTTGGATATTCCGAACATATTTCAAAAAAACAATTACATTCCATTTCAAACGGCATTAATATTAATACTTACAAATTCTATCGCTAAATCTTGCAAACATTCGTGTTTTATTGTTACATCAACATACAAGCTTTTATTCTTCGTGCAAATATACGCACTTTGTAAATTTGGACATGAATCCATGAACTGGAAACCATAAAAAATGATGCCATTCGGACAAAAGGTGTCAATTTCAACTATTTTAAGCTTTTCAAATACTGGACTATGGTAAGGTCTGTCTGGATAAGGACTTTGAATATAAAGATGTAGTCTTTCAAGATTCGGGAAATTATGTGCGTTTCTTACGAAGTCCCATAGAGTACCCAACTTAATGCGTAATTGTTTTATACCGGAACCATTTGGTAGCATATTTGACTTTAAATCATTGGGACACACCATTTCGAGTTCACCACAATATTTTTCTATTGGTTCTTCAAGTGAATGGATTAATCCTTTCAAAGATTTTTGATGTCTGATAAATGCAACAATATCTTCTAACTTTACTTTTCTTAAGAGTCTATAAGAAAATTCGGCAATCTGTGTGGAAAAGATAAATATGAGAAAATTAATATTCAATGGAAATACTAAAAGGTATTTAATTAACAATATCAACCAACTTTTACATTTGGAAATAATGTGCTCAGACAGGTTCCATCAATCTGAGTGTCTCCTTCATAATAAACACAATCAAATGTATAATTAGGGTACTCTGAAAATATAAATTTTGTGCGGTTAAGAGATTGATTACAATGAGAATAAGAATAAGAATTAATTAAAATTGCAATCTTACCCAATATATATTTAACTTTTTTAGTTCGCTTAACAATTAAATGGCTCCATCCAACACACACTGTAAGAAAATTTTTATTTAATCAAAAATCTAGTGTTCATTTGGTCAATCATTATTCAATTGCCTTCAGATGACTTCAACATGACTTGACATTTGTAAAAATATTCGAATGCTGTGCCTCAACAATCAGATGATTATGATTACGGGATAACAAAAGACGTTGAAACTTTTAAAATACTCAGAGCGCGAAGCTATTTGACTGACGAGAGACTCTCTCTCTGACCAATTCAGCAAACCGTCGACTAGGTTGACTTAAAAAGTCCATCACTGAAGGTATGCAAAAGGTATGTGTCACAAAAAATAGACTCTCGTCAAATCGAAAGTAAATTCAAATTTCAAAAGGGACATTGAAAAACTTAGCGTCTTAAGACGAGTAATATTAGATGCGTGAGAAGTCGCATTCGGCCTCAACTGAGCAAACTATTTTTGCTGGTTTCTTATAAACTGACAATGATACTACTAAATGTGCTCCTCATAAGATATTGTAGTAAGATATTATAAAAAGTCAAAAATGCAACATTGCGTAGATGAAACTCAAGAACCACTAACCGTATCCTTTTCAGGCTTGGTAATGAAATGGTGATTTTTGTGATCTATTTCAAATTGACGAGTGTCAATTCTCAAGACACAGCACTTTCGTTGGGAATAGATGATTTTGTGTCCAACAAATAAACAAGACTCGTTCTTACCTTTGAAGCAGTTCATTAAATCATCCAGGTTATTCACATAATCAAAAATGGCGAGTAAACAATCATCGGGAAGTTCATAGATCAACGTTTTAAAATAATTATTTTTAACTTAAATTTTCCTTGACTCTATTGTTTGAAGTGAAAAGGGTTTAAAGACTTAAAAAAGGCTTGTTAGTGGTTAATCACTAGATTTGATTTATTAGAATCTTTAGATTCTTTTAATATTATTTTTCTTGTAGTTCACTTGAATGGCAGCGGTATTTTCAGATTCATCTTCTCTCTAGATTCTGAATAATTTTCATTTCTATCTTTTAAATTTTATATCGATAGTTATTATTTTTATAAAAGGTTGATTCGATCATAACTGATTTCAATCCAGTCCAGTCAGCTGTACTCAAACACAAAGCTTATCATACGCTGAAGAATATTCATTATTAATTGGATTAGGCCGAATTTTTCTCCAGTATTCAATCACATTATCTTAAATCCCATAATAAATCCAATGATTGGTCAAAGAATGATTACTGTAGGGGCTACCATTCTCGATGTAATGAGACTCAAAGTTTTAATGCTAATGGCCAAAATGAAGAGAAATGTCAATAAAATGAAAAATTGTTCGATCAACCATGTTCACCAAATATTTTTATCGACGAAAAATGAGTTTCAACTATTACTGCCACTCGAAGCTCCAGGTAATTTCACGCAATAAGCACATTTTCTGGTTGCCATGAGAAGTTATAGCGGAAAAATGATCCCTAATCCACTTTTGAACAAGATCGACAAAAATTTGTTCATTTCTAAATCCTATTTTGCAGAATTATTAATTCTAATAATTTACTTTTGTTTTTGAATGAATCTGTTTTTGTTCAGTAATTAACATAAAAAACTAAAGAAAATTAAAAGTCAGTGAAATGAACAAGCATGAAAATCTCATATTATCGTGGTTTTGAGATTTCCATTGTTCTTTGCATTGATATAAAGCGGATTTTGTGTTTGAAAGATTGTAAGTCCACCAGCTTTTCTAAATATTTCAGAGATCATTTTAATCAGCGGATATTTTTCAATGCATTTGAATTTGCTGGTTGAATTCTCTGAATCAAGCTCCAACTAGAGTTATTAAGATGGATCCTGTTACTCTATACCCTCAGGTATCCAATGTAAGATGAAGTACAAAAATGAACTATAGATTACCAGTTTTAAAAAAATGTATTATGATATTCAACTTTATTATTAATAATAACAAAAGGTAATCCAAAAACTGTTGTATGCTTTATAAAAGTGAGGGAAATTTCAACGATTTTGAAAAAGTAAGAGTTCGAATCAGGATTTTATGTGAATTGTTGTTTCTTCGCAAAGTAAATAATATTAAGATTAAAAATAACAATAAGAATGAAAGGTAGAGGCAATAGGAATCAAGAAATGTGGAAGGTCAGCAAAATCTTTAAGAAAGCAATGTTCCATGAAATCAAAGGCTCGACCAATCTTTTCGCTTTTAATGGATAACTGAGGCCAATCTGATTTGATTTCATTGAAATTCTTATCGAAGTAAAATTTGAGTGATCTTCCATATCTTTTACAATAATCGGTAACAAAATCAGCAGCTTTTTGAGTGACTCCAGGACATAAAAAAATATCAAGTAGCACTAAATTGGGTAAAATACGAACCAATTGCTCGATATGTTCATCTTTTATGCTCCCAGTGGACCGTAACGAAAGATGTTTGAGATTCGGATATTTCATGATCAATCTTTTTAAATTATTCCAGTCGATTTGGTTATTTCTATTCTGTAAATATAGAATCAATGAGTTTTTGTGATAAATCTTGAACAGACGAACCTTTTATGGTGTAACTTAACCTTGTTGATTATAATCTGAAGTAGATCAAATAAATTTGGATATCCCGAAGATATTTACTAGAAAAAGCAATCAAATTGATACTTACAAAATCTATAACTAAATCTTGCAAAAATTTGTGTTTTAATGTTTCATCGACGAAAAAACGATGAGAGTTCAAACGAATATGTGCACTTTGTAAATTTGGACATGAATCCATGAACTGGAAAACATAAATCGCTGAATCACTATTAGAGTATAAGGCCAGTTCAAGTATTTTAAGCTTAGTCAATACTGGACCATGGTAGTATCTGTCTGGGAATGAATCAAAAGCATCAATGTGCAGTCTTTCAAGATTTGGGAAAAAACGTGATTTTCTTTTGATAAAATGGTAAGCATTCTGAATGTGTAATTGTTTTAAACTGAAACAATTGTGTAGAAAGTGCGGCTCAATAAAATTGGTGGAAAGCATCTCGAATTTATCACAATATTTTTCTATTTCTTCACGAGATGAAGTTATTATTCCTTTCAAAGAGTCTAGATTTCTGAAAAATGTGACAACATCGCCAAAATTTACTCCAAAAAAGAAATCCATTGAAAATTGAACAATCTAAGCGGGTAAAATAAATATTAATAAGTATCAAATGAAAAGATCGAGAAGAGAAATTCGATTAATAATATCAACTTACTATTAAATTTGGAAACAATAGGCTCAGACAGGTTCCATCAATCCGATATCTTCCTTCACAATAAACATAATCAGTTGAGAAATCAGTCTTAGCAGGTTTAGCTGTAAATATAATTTTTAAATGATTAGAAATTGATTACAATGAGAATAAGCATTAATGAAAATTGAAATCTTACCCATGAAATATTTAACTTTTTTAGTTCGCACAGCAATCAAATGGCTCCATTTAACACAAACTGTAATAAAATTTTATTGAATTACCAAAAGTGTTCCTTTGCTCAATCATTATTCAGTTTTATTCAGAAACAACTCAACACAACATTTGTAAAAATATTCAAATACTACACCAAAACGGTCAGATGATGTAATGATCATAAATAGGGACGTCAAAAATCGGGTTTTTTCGGGGATAAAATTTTTCGGTGGATGAGTGTATTGATACTTTTCAACATATTTAAAGGCTAGCTAGCGAATTTCAGAGTGATTTATCACCGCCGAAAACCCCGAAATCAATGAAATTTGAAAAAAATTGCCGAAATTCATGAAAATGAACCGAAAGATGCCGATTTTTCCAAAATTTACTCTTTTTTATTACTATTTTTTGATTTTTATGATTCTCTCAGACAGTTTCACGTCTAACTTTTGCTTACTATAGCAATGGTTACTTTGTGTTTCTAAGCATGATTTGAAAGCGCTTAAAGTACTTTGTTGAATGCTTCTGGCTTGGATTTGGAGGAAACAGGATTATGAAGACCAATTCAGCTGGAATGATTTAGAAAGATTGCTTGTGAAATATCCGAAATAAATGAAGTCTATTTAAGTGGAATTTTAAGCGCCGAAAAGCGCCGAAATCAATACATTTTATCCGCCGATTTCGGCCCCGAAATTGACTAAATCTAACCGCCGATTTTGACGTCCCTAATCATAAAATACCAAAAGATGTTTCATTCAGATGAAACTTTCATAATTTTTGTTAATACTCAGAATTCAAAGATATTTACTCATGCAAGACTTTCTCTGGTCAATCCAGAAAATTGGCGATTCCGCCCAACTAACTCATGAGCCACTGAACGTAACCGTGAAGAGGGTCAATTTTTCGTGAAACACCACTTTCATTGGAAACAAATGATTTTTATTGAACATTGATTCATAATTACCTTTATAGCAGTTAATTAAATCATCCAAGTTATTTATTTTATCAAAAATGGCGAGCAAACAATCATCGAGAAGTTCATTTATCAGCATTTTAAAACAAAATAGGTAAAAATACAGTTTTCACTTGAGTCTGGTAATTGTAAAGAAGAGCGTAAAAGACAAGAGTAAAGTAATTTTGCAACAATATTATATTCTTGAGTAATATTATCGTTATTAACACGTTTTTTACTATTTTTTTACACAAAAAACACTTTAAAAGACAATCTTAGCCAAAGCAAACTTCTGATATCGAGCAGAAGATGAGTCGATATGATCGATACATTGAAAATAAAATTTTACTCTCGATCGATCAATCATATCACAACAACTCTTTATTTTTTATATCAAGTCGTATTCATCATTGACAAGCTACACCATGAAATCTGCCAGATCACCTCATTCGCTTCTCACAAATAAATCTCCTTCATCAAATAGACTTCATTTATTTCGGATATTTCACAAGCAATCTTTCTAAATCATTCCAGCTGAATTGGTCTTCATAATCCTGTTTCCTCCAAATCCAAGCCAGAAGCATTCAACAAAGTACTTTAAGCGCTTTCAAATCATGCTTAGAAACACAATTCATGTGAAATTGTTTTATACTGGAATGATTTGATAGAATGCTTGGATAAGTGCATTTGTTTGTTTAACTGGAAATTCAGGCCACATAATGGTAGCTTTTCAAAATCGAGAAAGAGTCGGTATTTCGGTACATTATGAAAGGCAATATCATAAAATACTAACATCACGAAATCATCAACTCATTTCAAACATTCATGACCAGCAGATATGATTTCAAAAAAGATTCTTCGAAATGAACTGCTTCTAAATTTGATCTGTAGCTTCGTTTATTACTGGAAAATCTCTTTAAATCGAAAAATAGATTATATTGAATAAAAAGTATAACAAAAAGTATTTGGTTTCAATAATCAATAGGAACCAAGAAATTTGGAAGATCGAAATAATCCTTAAGAAAGCAATGTTTCATGAAATCAAAGCCTCGACTAATCCTTTCACTTGTAGTGGATAACTTAGGCCAATCTGATTCAATTTCATTGCAAGCCCTTTCGATGTAATATGGTTTACTAGATCTTTTACAATAATCTTCGTCGATAATAAAACCTCCTTTAGTGATTGTAGGCCAATTCTCAACATTAAGTAGCACTAAATTGGGTGAAATTTGAACCAATTTCTTGATATGTTCATCTTTCCTGTTACGTGGCTTCCTCAATCTAAGATGTTTGAGATTCGGATATTTCATTAACAATCTTTTTAAATGTTTCCACTTGACTCGTTCATCGCCATTCTGTAAATATAACATCAATTAGTGTATATGGATAAATTTTGAATTTAGATAACCAACTCATGTTGACGAAGCCTACCCTGATTTATTAAATTTGAAATGTTTCTAAAAAAGTAATTAAATTGCAAAGCGAATTAATACTTACAAAATGTATCACTAAGTCCTGCAAACTTTCATGTTTTACTGTTTCATCAACAAAAAAACGATTAGGCTCCATGGTTATGTGGGCGCTCTGTAAATTTGGACATGAATCCATGAAATGGAAACCATAAAAAATGCCTTTCTTCGGACCGGAACACAATACAAGTATTTTAAGATTTTCAAATACTGGAACTCGTAACTCATTGTATTTGCCTGCGGATGAACATTAGAATTTTTAAAACAAACATTTCTCACGAAAATATATTAGATAATCACCTTCCATTATAATAGACGTTCGTAGAAGTTCAAGATTTGGGAAATCATGTGCATATCTTTTGACATCCTCGAGAGAATCATTTCCAGTGTACAATTGTTTTATCCTGGAAGCATTTTGTATTTTGCTTAACTCATCTGAAAAGCCGCATACCATTTCGAGATTATCACAATATTCTGCAACTGGATCGCCGTTTTTATCGATTATTCCTTTCAAAGATCCATGATTCCTGATAAATGAAACAACATCACTTCTTTTCATTTTATTTTCGAATCTATATGTGAATTCCAAAATCTGAGTTGATGAGAGCAATAAAAGAATTGATGAGAATGCAGAAATAAATTTGATTCATAATATAAACTTACTATTAAATTTGGAAATAATGTATTCAGACAGGTTACATCAATCTCGTCTTCTCCTTGATAATAAACACAGTCCCATGGATAATGATACGAATCAAAATAATCAGAATCGTCTTCGCTACAATGATCAGAACTAGCTGCCTGATAAGGATCCTCTGGCAATATAAATTCAAGCTATTAATGAATTGATCATATTGAGAATAGCATTAATGAAAACTTGAAACTTACCCAACAAATATTTAGCTTTTTTGGTTCTCTCAACAATTGAATAACTCCATTTAGTACACACTGTAAGAGAATTTTTGAATTAAAAAATTTAGTGTTGATTTTTCAATCATTATTCAATTGCTTGCAGAACCAAGACAACATGACTTAACATCTGTAAAAATAATGCGTGTCAAATACTGAAGTCAGAATAATAAATTCTGAATATTGAATAATGATCCCAAGATAGCAAAAGATGTTACTTCAGATGAAACTATTTCAATAAATTATTATTAGTAATAGTCAGAGTCCGAAGCTGATTGACTCATGCGAAACTTTCTCGACCACTTTCAATGGAAGCAGATGATCTTCATTTAACAAATAAACATGATAAGTAATTACCTTTGTAGCAGTTTATTAGATCGTCCAAGTCATTCACATATTCAAAAATGGCCATCAAAAAATCATCAGGAAGTTCGTTGATCAACATTGTAAAACAAAAAGAAGCAAAAATAAGCCAAACAAGAAGCTTTTCCTAGAATCTGGTGATTTTCGCGAAAAGAGTCAAAGATTTAACTGTGAATCACTTTCATCATTTGATATTGTTTCCTTTACTTCACATAGATGTCAGCAGTGTAACCTGAATTTATTAAATTCAATTTAATCTAACACGAATTTTAAGACCGTTCATCGCTTATCAAAAATTAACTTACGCGTGAAACTAGTATACATGTATATCGATACCAATCTCAGTGATACTTATCGATACTTTTTACAATATTTTTGTTTCGATTTAGTTTCTGATATTTTTGTGTATTCCATTGTTCTGTTACACGTTGCTAATGGCCTGTAATAAAGTCAACTTACTATTAAATTTGGAAATAATTTGCTAGGACAGGTTACATGAATCTGAGATTCTCCTCGACAATAAACACAATCAAATGAATAATCAGGATACTCTGAAAATGTAAATTTCTGCGATTTAGAAAATCCCAGAATTTTTTGAAGGCTCAGATTATTCATGAGAACAGTCAGATTATTTGACTTCGGATGTTTGTCAGATGGTGATATCGAGATTAAAACAAAATATTATATACTTGATATGTCCCAGAATATGAATCCGAGCCTTTTCTTCACAAAAGAAGTACATTGTGAACATGAATAAGATAATTTAAGTCAACAGTGATACATGTTTAGGCAGCTATCATTTGTAGAAGTGAAACTTAAATTGTTACAATAAATTCTATACTTTTACATTTGATTTGCTTTGAAATATCATCATTTGCCACAGTATTTAAACAGTTAGGACTCGGATGTATCTTCTTCTGTTTACGGAGTTGAACAGTTACCTTTGCCTCCAAAATTGAAGTTTTACATCAAGTCGTATTCATCATTGACAAGCTGCACCATGAAATCTGTCAGATCACCTCATTCACCTTCATCAAATAGACTTCCTTTACAAAATCACCATTACAACCCTCATATTCATCACCCATTTCGCTTTAGCAGTAGAGCCAACGAAGCTCATTGAAAAAAATGTGCAAACAAGATTGAACAAAATTTTGATAACTAAATCTTATTTTGCAGAAATATAAATTTTAATGAATATTTTTTCAAGTATCCAATATAAAGTACAATAAAAAAACATTTTTAAAGCGCTTCACTGATTGAAATTGTTTACAGCAGAGATCTTTCAACCCATTCAGATAATCATTCAAGTATTCATTTTTTACCAGCAGCTATAACCACAAAAAGGATTCTTCGATATGTAGAAAAGTTTTGGAAGTTAATCACATTTTTGTAAGCTCTTTAATCCAAAAACAGTTATCTACTTCTTCTTAATATGATCTGTAGTTTAGTTTTTTTGCAGAAAAATCTCTTGTAATTGAAAAATAGATAATATTGACTAAAAAATATGTGAAAAAGTATGTGGTTCTCAATAATCAATAGGAATCAAGAAATGTGGAAGTTCAAAATTATCTTTGAGAAAGTAGTGTTTCATAAAATCAAAGCCTCGACTGATTTTTTCATTTTTAGTGCTTAACTGAGGCCAATCTGATTCGATTTCATGGCGATTTCTAATGAAGTAGAATTTGATTGATCGTCCATATCTTTTACAATAATCTTGAATATAATAAGCAGCTTTACGAGTGACACTTGGACATCCACGAACATCAAATAGCACTAAATTGGGTAAAATGTGAATCAATTGCTTGATGTGTTCATCTTTTAAGTTACGGGCGCCCCTCAATGCAAGATGTTTGAGATTCGGATATTTCATTAATAATCTGATTAAATCATTCCTGTTAATTCGTTTATCATCCTTCTGTAAATATAACATCAATTAGTTTACATGGATAAATTTTGAATTCAGGTAAATCACTCATGTTGAGGGAGTCTAACCTTATTTATTTTAATTGGAAATGTATCTAAATAAATCTTTTTTACTCTACAAAAGTAATTAAATTGCAAGGACAATTAATACTTACAAAAATTATCACTAAGTCCTGCAAACATTCTAATTTTGATGTTTCATCAACGAAAAAGCGATTGAATTCCATGGTAATGTGGGCGCTCTGTAAATTTGGACATGAATCCATGAAATGGAAACCATCAAAAATTTCCTCCTCATTTTCGGTAGATAATGTAAGTATTTTAAGCTTTTCAAATACTGGGACTTGGGACATATGGTAACTGCCTGCGGATAAAAAAAGAATTTTTATAAGGCAAACATTTCTCACGGAAATGTGTTGAATAATCACCTTTCGTTAAAATAGACGTACGGAGTAGTTCAAGATTAGGGAAATCATGAGCATATCTTTTGACAGCGTTGAGAGAAAAATCTCCAGTGTACAATTGTTTTATCCTGGAACAGTTTCGTATTTTGCTTAACTCAGATGCAAAGGCGGATACCATTTCGAGTTTATCACAATTTTCTGCAAATGGATTGCCACTTTCAGCGATTATTCCTTTCAAAGATTCAAGATTTCCGAAAAATGAAACAATATCACTTCTGTTCATTTTACATAGAAATTTATTTGTGAATAGCAAAATCTAAGTGGATAAGAGTAATAGCAGAATTATGAAAAATGCAGAAAGAAATTTGAATAATAATATAAACTTACTTTTAAATTTGGAAATAATGTGTTCAGACAGGTTACATCAATTGGGTTTCCTCCTTGATAAAAAACATGATTAATTGGATAACGAAACGGATCAGAATAATCAGAATCGTCATACCAACGATGCTTTTCATAAACATATGTCTGATGAGGATCCTCTGAAAATATTAGCAATTAATAAATTGATCAAAATGAAAATAAGCATTAACGAAACTTGAATCTTACCCTGCAAATATTTAGCTTTTTTAGTCCGCTCAGTGATTAAATAGGTCCATCGAACACAGACTGCAATGAAATATTTCATCAAAAAAATTAGTGTTCATTTATCATTATTCAATTGCCTTCAGAACCAAGACAACATTACTTGACTGTCAAGTAATGCCAATGTGTATTTTACAGATGTCAAGACTTGACATCTGTAAAAATATTGAAATACCGCGCCTCAAAAGTAAGAAGAAGATTGAGTGATGCAAAGTTCAGAGAGCAAAAGATTTTTCATTCACATTGTCAGATGTAACTTTTTCAGTAGATTATTATTATTCATAGCCAGAGTCCGACGTTAATTGGCTCATGGGGGACTTTTTCGAGTCGATTCGGCAAATCATGTACTAATAGCTGGATTTAAAAAGTAGCGACCTTCACTGATGGTATGCAAAAGGATGTGTGTCACTAGGAATCGGCTCTTGTAAAATTGAAAATAAACTTAAGTTTTGAAAGCTACATTGAAAAACTATGATGGGTACAGAGGTTGCGTTCGGTCACAACTGAGTTTAAAGTTAAAACCATTTTTGGACGTTTCTCACAAACCTACTTTCATACTGTAAAATGTGCTTCGGATCAACAATTGTGTCGATGTAAGGCAAGAAGCACTGGCCATATCCTTTTCAAACTTGGTGATATAATAGATACAATTGAGACACAAATTTTAATTTTACAAGATTTGATTTTTTGTGACACTTTTAATGGAAACAGACGATATTCATTTAACACAATAAACATGGTTGGTAATTACCTTTGTAGCAGTTTATTAAATCATCCAGGTCATTCACATATTCAAAAATGGCCATCAAACAATCATCAGGAAGTTCGTTGATCAACATTGTAAAACAAAAAAATAAGCAAAAATAGACCAAACAAGAAGATTTTCCTAGAATCTGGTGATTTTCGAGAAAAGTGTAAAAGATTCAACTGTGAATCACTTACAGAGTTACATGCAATTGATATTGTTTCCGTTAGTTAAAATAGATGTCAGCACTGAATTTAATAGTGAGTAAAGTACAGACAACGAGACTTTTTATCAAAAAAAGTCAATCACATAGAATGCCTCTGATTATCAAAAAACCCTTTATTACCATAAAATTTTTTGATCACATACTTTACATAATAACTCTCATCAAAACTGATTAACATCAGGATTACATCTATTACCGTACCATGACAAATGACTCGCAAACAAAAAATACTCATATATCTACCCCCCATTCCTCCTCTTAATTTCTAGTTTTAACCCCTAGTACTTCACTTAACTCCCCTCACAAATATCATGTATGGAAGGGCGACTTAAGTCCATTTAAATCATATTGAAGTAGTAAAGTAAATTACACTCTTTGCATAACGAATCCGACAAGTGTTTCAGGCTAAATATTAGATAATAATAATAGATCAATGCAAAGGTTATGATTAAATGCTGAGGTGCAGATGTGAGTAAAGATGAAATTATAAACAGTTTGGACTCGGATGTATCTTCCTCTGATTACGAACACCATTTTTCTGCATCTCCTGGTGTTGCATTCAAATCTACCCGAAAATTTTGCTCGATGGCAAAAGGATTCGCCTTCAATTATGGGACGATTTCCAACAATAATCCAGTAATCAACAAAAAAAACTAAGAGAATAACTCTAGAGAGTTAATTAGAGTTCCTAAGATGGTTCCAGTTACTCGACTATCTCAACTATCCAATAATCTAACTAACGTTAGCTACAAAAGATTTGAGATAAATATTAAATATAATAAATACAATAAAAAATGATGAATTGATTAAAAAAGTGGGGGAAAACGTTGACAAACAAGCAAATAACAGCTTAGCAAATCTCAGGGATTCACCTGGCATCTATCGTACACTGAAATAGTTTCTGGGAATAAGAGCGTTTTATAATAGTACAGTGTTTTTACATTTTATGATATTCTGAAACCTCTGTGAAAGTTTTATTATATAAGACTCTTTAATCTCAAGCTCCTCGAATGGACTTCGAGGTAAAAAATAACAAATATTTAATAAGTATAAGGTTTTAAATAATCAATAGGAATCAAGAAATGTGGAAGTTGATGAAAATCTTTAAGAAAGCAATGTTTCATGAAATCAAAGCCTCTACTGATTTCTTCGTGTTTAATTGATAACTGTGGCCATTCTGATTCAATTTCATGGCGATTTCCATCGAAGTAAAACTCAACTGATCGTCCATATCTTTTACAATAATTTTGAACAGAATCAGCAGCTCTTTGAGTGACTCCACGACATCCACGAACATCAAATAGCAATAAATTGGGTAAAATGTGAACCAGTTGCTCGATATGTCCATCTGTTATATGCCAATGCTTCCTTAACGCAAGATGTTTGAGATTCGGATATTTCATAAACAATCTTTTTAAATTATCCCAGTTAAATGGTTCTTGGCAAAACTGCAAATAAAAAATCAATCAGGTTTTGTGGAAAAATTTTCATCAGATGATTCTTCCATGTCATTGTAACCAAATCTTGTTGATTTCAATCTGGAATGATCGAATTAAGTTGGATGCTCCGCTAATATTCTTTAAAAAACAATTACATTTAGAAAGGAATGAATACTTACAAAATGTAGAACTAAATCTTGTAAACATTCTTGTTTTAATTTTTCATCGAAAAACAAGCGATGAGAATTCATGAAAATATGTGCACTTTGTAAATTTGGACATAAATCAATGAACTGGAAAACATAACAAATGCTTGTACTGAAAGGACAAAAAAATGCTAATTCAAGTATTTTAAGCTTTTCCAATGCTGGACCATCGTAGTGCTTGTCCGGTGCTAAACAATAAATTTTGATAAGCAAACATTTCGCATGAAAATATTTATATAATTACCCTTAATATGAGTATGTAGTCTTTCAAGATTCGGGAAATTAGATAAATCAGGTTTTAATGTATCTATAGAATTCATCCCAGAGTGCAATTGTTTTATACTGGAACGATTTCGAAGAATGATTGGCTCGGAATGATTGCCGGATAGCATTTCGAGGTTATCACAATATTTTTCTATTGATACACCAGATGGATCGATTAATCCTTTCAAAGATTTTTGATTGCTCACAAATGTAACAATATCTCCAAATTGCACTTTACCTTGGAATCCATGCGATACTTCAGCAATCTAACAAGTGGATAAGAAGATGAATAAGAAAATTAATATTCAATGAAAAATCCAATAAGACTAATAAGATTAATAATATCGACCAACTATTAAATTTGGAAATAATATGCTCAGAAAGGTTACATCAATCGAATCCACTCCCAGATAATGAACATAATCAAATGAATATTTAGGATCTTCTGTAAATAAAAGTTAGTGCCATTAATAAATTGATTACAATGAGAAAAATCATTAATGAAAATTTGAATCTTACCCATAAAATATTTAACTTTCCTAGTTCGCTCAGCAATTAAATGGCTCCATTTAATACACACTGTAATGAAATTTTATTCAATTGCTAAATTCAGTGTTCTTAATTTTGCACCATCATTTTTAATCCATTTAATATACACTGTGATAAAATCTTCAATGAATTATTGAATCATTATTCAATTGCCTTCATACATTACAAACACATCACTTAACATCTGAAAAAAATATTCAAATACTGCGCCTCAACATTCAGATGATTAATTGATGAAATGATCAAAAGATAACATGATATTGAGTCAACGTAGTCAATAGTCGATGAACGTATTGACTTCGACCTAGACGAAATTTCATCGACTGACTGATTTACTACATCAACTAACTTCGATGTTTAAACGAAAGATGTTTCATTCAATTGAAACTTTTAGTATAGTCATTTAGGTTGATAGCTCATTTTAAACCAGGATTTTATGTAAAACTTTGTCTTTTGAGTAAAGAGTTTTGTGAAAAAATCTGGTTCTTAACTGTACGGAAAGAGATATAACTTGCAATTTTGTAAATTTCGACCAGAGAAATATTAATTGTACCAATGGACTCAGTTTTAAGAACCCCTTGATGTATCCTTTTAAACGCGCTAATAGATGTTATAACAGATACAGACGTATTTTTGATGTTTTCATATGACGATTGTCAATTTTGACACACCCTTGCGATGGGAATAGACGATTTTTATTGAAAAATAACATGATTAGTAATTACCTTTATAGCAGTTTATTAAATCATCCAGGTTATTTAAATAATCAAATATGGAGAGCAAACAATCATCGGGAAGTTCATTGATCAACATTTTAAGATAATATAATATAAGTAAAACCTGAGTTTTCACTTGAGTCTGGTGATTGAGTAAAATAGTATAAAATTCAATGCTGAATCACTGGATCTGATTAATTATCAGAATGATCATTTATTGTTTTCCTGTAACTCATCCCATAGATGTCACCAGTAGATTGAGATAATTTGCTGGATTAATTTTCATGAGAAAAAGTTAAAGTTGAAACTTCTATCGCAAACAGATTTTTTAAGTCATTTGCCTGATTTAACTTTTAGTGTCCACCAGAAAATGCATTGTTATAATTGATTAAAGAAAGGAAATTAATTTCGCGCTTCGAATGGGCTTCTAAGTAATTAAATGACTCCATTTAATACACACTGAAATGAAATGATTAAAAAAGTGTTGCTTTTTTCAATCACTATTCAATTGACTCCATACATTACAAAAACAACATGACTTGACATCTGAAAAAAATATTCAAATACTGGCCTCAAAAGTCAGAAGATTGAGTGATGTAAAGTTCACAAGATAACAAAAGATATCTGAATTAGATGAAACTTTTTCAACAAATTATTACCAATAGAGTCCAAAGTAATTGACTCATGCGAGACTTTCTCGTGCTAATTCGAGCATCATGTAACAATAGCTCGACTTAAGAGTAGTGAACATCGCCCAAGTTATGCAAAAGGTGGGTTTCACTAGCAATTGACTCTCGTTACAATTCTCGTCTCTCAAATTGAAATTAAACTTAATTCTTGAAAGGAAATTGAAAAATTATGATGGGTACAAAAGTTTTTAATGTCAGTTTTCACTTGAGTCTGGTGATTGTAATCAAAGGGTAAAAGACAAAGAGTAAAGTGTTGCAACAATATTTCACTTTTGAGTCTAACATTAGTTTAACGGATAAATTGATTTTCGATAAACGCCATCTACAATACTTAAGATGCTTAATTAGTCCATTGGTAGTATAGTAGACGGCGCTAATCAAAAATTAACTTATGTGTGAAACTATCGATACCAATCTCAATGATACTTATCGATACTTTTTACAATATTTTTGCTTCGATTTAGTTCTTGATATTTTTTTCATTTCAATGTACTGTTACACGTTGCAAGGGCCTGTTATAAAGTCAACTTACTATTGAATTTTCTCAGACAGGTTACATCAATTGGATCTTCTCGTTCATAATGAACACAATCAAATGAATGATCAGGATCCTCTGAAAATAAGCAATTATTGAAAACTTGAATTTTAGCCACCATTAACTTTCGCAGTTCGCTTAGTAATTAACTGACTTCATTTAATACAGACTGAATTGAAATTTTCATTTAATTGAAAAATTTAATGTTGATTTTTTAACAGTACATTTCGACGGAAAGGAAAAGCCCTTTCTCATGTGACACAAATAAATCTACTTCATCAAATAGACTGCTTTTCCAGAATCACCATTACAACCCTCAAATTCATCGCCCATTTCGCTCTTACAGTTCAATAGGAACCAAGAAATGTGGAAGTTCATAAATATCCTTAAGAAAGCAATGTTTCATGAAATCAAAGCCTCGGCTTATTGTTTCTTCTTTAGTTGATAACTGAGGCCAATCTGATTTAACTTTATCGCGATCCAGGTCGACGTAACATTTGATTGATCGTCCATTTCTTTTACAATAATCATCAACGATATCAACAGCTCTTTTACTGATTCTAGGCCAATTAGCAATATTAAGTAGCACTAAATTGGGTAAAATACGAACCAATTTGACGACATGTTCATCTTTCATGCAGTGTATATTCCTCAACGAAAGATGTTTGAGATTCGGATATTTCATTAACAATCTTTTTAAATCATTCCAGTTAAATTGGGCATTCGTATACTGTAAATATAAAATAAATTAGTTTATCTTGATAAATTTTGAATTCAGATAACCCAGCCATATTTACGGAACCTAACCTTGTTGAATTTAAAGTAATTAAATTTCAAATCGAATCAATACTTACGACTCCTATAACTAAATCTTGCAAACATTCATGTTTTAATGTTTCATCAACAAAAAAGCGATTAGTTTGCATGTTAATGAAGGCACTCTGTAAATTCGGACATGAATCCATCAACTGGAAACCATAAAAAACATTTTTTCCATCTACTGAATGCAGTACAAGTATTTTAAGCTTTTCAAATACTGGGACTCGTAATATATCGTAATTGCCTGTAATTGCACGAAATTTTTATAAGCAAACTTTTCTCGCAAAAATACATTGTATAATCACCATTCGTACAAAAAGACATTCGTAGCATTTCAAGATTAGGGAAATCGTGAGCATATCTTTTGACAGCCTCTAGAGAAGCACCAGCAGTGTTCAATTGTTTCATACTGGAACCATTTGGTATTTTGCTCGAATCGAAAGAACAGGAAAATAGCATTTCGAGTTTATCACAATATTTTGTTGGATCGCCATTTTTATCGATAACTCCTTTTAAAGATTCATGATTTCTTACAAATGAAACAATATCCATTTTTTTTACTTTTTTTCGCAATATAGTTGTAAATTCCAAAATCTAAGTGGATGAGAGCAATAAAAAATTGAATGAAAATGCAGAAAGAAATTTGATTACTGATATTAACTAACTATTAACTTTGGAAATAATGTGCTTAAACAGGTTTCATCAATTGGGGTTCCTCCTTGATAATAAACACAATCAAATGGACAAAGATACGAATCAGAACAATCAGAACCGTCTTCGCTACAATGATCATTAGGGTCATAGGGCACCTCTGAAAATATAAATTTAAGTGATATATAAAATGATCGTAATGAGAATAAGCAATGGTGAAACTTGAATCTTACCCAGCAAATATTTAACTTTTCTAGTTCGCTTAGCAATTAAATTGCTCCATCTAACACAAACTGTAACGAAATATTTAATTAAAAAATTTAGTGTTGATTTTTTCAATCATTAGACAATTGCCTTCAAAACCAAGACAACATTACTTGACATCTGTAAAAATATCCAAATATTGAGCCTCAAAAGTAAAAAGATTGAGTGATGTAAAGTTCAAAAGATGTTTAATTCAGATGACACCTTTTCTATACATTTTCATTAGTAATAGGCAAAACCCGAAGTCATGCGAGACTTTCGCGAGTCGCTTTAGCAAATAATCTACTAAATATCGTTTAGAAAGTAGCAACCATCGCTGAAGGTATGAAAAATGGTGTGTGTCACTAGGAATCGACTCTCTTAAAATTGAAAATAAACTTAATTTTTAAAAGGGACTTTGAAAACTATGATTGCTAGTAAAAGTAAGTTGAGTATGTCGCGTTCGGTCACAACTGAGATTTAAAGTTGAAACCATTTTTGGTGGTTTCTCACAAACTGACTTAGATACTGTAAAATATGCTTCGAATCAGCAATTGTGTCGATGTAACACAAGAAACACTGGCCATATCCTTGTCAAACTTGGTAATATAATAGGTACAATTGAGAAAGATTTTTAATTTTTCACCACTCACCACTTTCAAAAGAAGCATACAATCTTCATTGCTCACAATAAACATGATTGGTACTCACCTTTGTAACAGTTTATTAAATCATCCAAGTCATTCACAAAATCAAAAATGGGGAGTAAACAATCATCGGCAAGTTCGTTGATCAACATCGTAAAACAAAAAATAAGCAAAAATAAGCCAAAAAAGAAGCTTTAGCTAGAATCTGGTGCTTTCGAGAAAAGAGTCAAAGATTTAACTGTGAAACACTTACACTGCAACCTCTCAAAGATTGTGAGAAACTGAACATGGAATGGATTTGACGTTTAACTCGGCTTAAAATTTAATTTTAACGAATCCTTAGTACAATAGTGATTCCTCTAGATGGCTGTACATTGTTAGATGCATTTGATGTTGTTTCCTTTAGTTAACATAGATGTCAGCATTGGAACCTGAATTTAATTAATTCTACAGATTCTGAATTTTCATTTTTATCTTTTATTTTGATTTTACATCAATCTTTACTTTTTTTACAAACAATAAGTTGATGCGATCAGGTCTGATTGTAATGGAAGATAGCCTGAATGCTGGATTTTTGGCCTAAAATTTAGAATAAAATGAAGCATTTATCAATCGAAAGCTTATGTTGAGTATGTCTTTCTAAAAATCAGATAAAAATTGGAATCTCCTTATTCGAGTTACTCGACAATTTGCTTGTCCCCCTTATGATGACCGAGTCCAATGATTCAGGTAGAAATTTTTTACTGATTCTAATGATGCTATGCATATTGCTCTAAACCTGCGGCGGAGATATTCGAGTTTTAATATTTTGTCCCATGCAAATAAATATTCAAAGCCATGGCGTTATACTTTTATACTTGATTTGATTGTAAAAAAATACACCATATGTCATGATGAAAAACTAAGTCTATTGAGTCAGTTGATTTGTAAATTTTAGGGATCGATAATTTCCTAGAAAATAAGGCTCAAAGGATTTCTGTTCATATGAAAGAGGTAGGGTTAAACCTAGTACTTCGAGAAATATGTGTATAAGATGTATCTTCTTCTGACTACGAAAACCATTTCTCTGGATCTCCTGGTGTTGCATTCAAATCTACTCAAATTTTGCTCGATGTCAAAAGGATTCGCCTTCAATTATGGGATGCTTCTGGACAAGGACGATTTCCAACAATTTATGAATGTTTTAGCCCTTTTACCACAATTAGTCTGAGCGAAGACTAAGCTCTAATAAATAAATCTAATCTTTTGACGGTTGCAGCCAAACCATACAATCGATTTCAATGAAGTTTTGTGCGAGTATACAATATGTGAGTGCCCATTGCAGAAAGGAGTAATGAAAAAATTCCTTCAGGGAATGGAGGTTTAATTGTGAATAGTGTGCGTTTTTATGGTATTTTGAGCTAAGAGCCTGAAATTACGATGAAAAATGGAAAAGTCTGCGTTTTTTGCATCTTTTCAGATATTACAATTGAGTAAAAAATCTTTGTTGGAAACCATTCGAATTTATCTTTGCTCTTAGTTTAACGCTCGCTCACACTACGCTGGCTCACGGCTGACTAGTTATAATAGAATGGAATCATTCACAACCAACTATCGATTCCCTTGAAGTTCCCTCGTATGTTCCATGTTGTTTTTGTTGCAATATATAGACATGTTATTACTAAATTTTACTATCATCTAAAATTTCAAGACCGAACGTTGAAATCATGAATCGGTTTTGTAACTTATTTACATTTCACGATATTCTGAAATGAAAATTGTCAACAGCTCTTTAGTTTCATGTAAAGTTACAATTTGTTCACAAAATTAGTTAGTTTTGGTCATGTCGATATCTCTTTAGGTTAGACAATAGATAATATCCATTAAGAAAATAGATCGCGAAATAAATCGATTAAGTAATAGAAATTGAATTCAAACTCTCCGAATAAAGTCAAAGAGTGAAATATATTTTAATAAGAATAACGGTTTCAATAATCAAAAGGAACCAAGAAATGTGGAAAGTGATAACTTTCTTTAAGAAAACAATGTTTCATGAAATCAAAGCCTCGGCTTATTTTTTCTTCTTTAGTTGATAATTGAGGCCAATCTGATTTCATTTTATCGCGATCCAGGTCGATGTGAAATTTGATTGATCGACCATATCTTTTACAATAATCTTTAACGATATCAACAGATCTTTTAGTGATTGTAGGCCCATTCTCAATATTAAGTAGCACTAAATTGGGTAAAATGCGAACCAATTTCTCGACATGTTCATCTTTCATGCAGTGTATATTCCTCAACGCAAGATGTTTGAGATTCGGATATTTCATCAACAATATTTCCAAATCATTCCAGTTAAATTGGGCATGGGTAAACTGTAAATATAAAATAAATTATTTATCTTGATAAATTTTGAATTCAGATAACTCAGCCTTATTAACCAGCATTATTAACCTAACCTTGTTTAATTTGATTTTCGAGTCAGTAAAGCATGTTAAACATGAAATTTCATAATTTGATCATTTGATCAGCGAAACTGAAATTTAGACGAGACTTAAGTTTGCTGAGCGTGTGGGATTGCTATTCTGTTTCAATTAAGGTAATAACAAAGTTAATTGTTAAATTTAACCCTTAAATATTAAGTTTTTTTAATTAGCCGCTCGGCTTGAGCCGAAACTAGATGCGGCTAATGAGAGGAGAAGTGAGCCTACGGTTACTTCTACAGCCTTACCTAAAATTTTTATTAGCAAGCACTTTTCACGAAAAAGTATTGTATCACATAATTACCATTCTTATTAACAGACGTTTGTAATTTTTCAAGATTAGGAAAATCATGTGCATATCTTTTGACATCCTCAAGAGAATCATCAGATTCAATGAACAATTGTTTTATCCTGGAACCATTTGGTATTTTGCTCGACTCAAATGACCAGCAAGATAGCATTTCGAGTTTATCACAATATTCTTCCAATGGATTTTTTGAATCTAAATCAATTATCCCTTTCAAAGAAGCATGATTTCTGACAAATGAAACGATATCCATTCTGCTTACTTTATTTTGAAATCTATCTGTTAATTCAAAAATCTAAGTGAATAAGAAAATTAATGTTAAGAGCAAAATCCGAAAAAGTTTGGTTAACATCAACTTACTTTCAAATTTGGAAATAACTTGTTCAAACAGACAACATCAATCTTATCTTTTCCTTGATAATAAACACAATCAAATAGATATTGTATATCTGAATAATCAGCACTGTGATCGGGCCAACGATTAATATCAGCTGTTTGATGAGGATCCTCTGAAGATATAAATTTAAGCGATTAATAAATTGATTACAATGAGCATAAGCAATAGTGAAACTTGAATCTTACCCAACAAATATTTAACTTTTCTAGCTCGCTTAGCAATTAAATAGCTCCATCCAACACACACTGTAATGAAATATTTAATTTTAAAATTTAGTGTTAGTTTTTTCAATCATTATTCAATTGACAACCAGAACCGTTCAGAACCAAGACAACATGACTTGACATCTGTAATATATTCAAATATTGTATGCCTCAAAAGTAACAAAATTGAGTGCTGTAGAGTGAAAAGTGAAGATTATTTTACAGTGATAAGAACGCTGACGGAAAGTAAGAGTTTATTAACTCATGCAAGACTTTCTCGAGTTCATTCGGCAAATCATGTACTAATGGCTCGACTTGAAGAGTAGCGATTATCGCTGAAGGTATGCGAAAGGGTGTGTGTAACTAGTAATCGACTCTTGTAAAATTGATAATCAACTTTTAAAAGGGACATTGAAAAACTATGATTGCTAGTAAAAGTAAGTTGAGTACTATGTCACGTTCGGTCACAGCTGAAATTTAAAGTTGAAATCATTTTTGGCGGTTTCTCAAAAACCGACTTAGATACTGTAAAATATGCTTCGGATCAACAATTGTGTCGATGTAACACAAGAAGCACTGCTCAGATCTTTTTCAAACTTGGTAATATAATAGATACAATTGAGACACATTTTCAATTTCACAAGAGTTGATTTTTTGTGGCACTTTTAATGGAAACAGACGATCTTCATGCAACACAATAAACATGGTTGGTAATTACCTTTGTAGCAGTTTATTAAATCATCCAAGTCATTCACATATTCAAAAATGGTGAGTAAACAATCATCGGCAAGTTCGTTGATCAACATTGTAAAACAAAAAATAAGCAAAAATAAGCTTTTCCTAGAATCTGGTGATTTTCGAGAAAAGAGTAAAAGATTCAACTGTGAAACACTTACACTAAAACCTCTCAAAGATTGTGAGAAACAAACATGCAGCGGAGTTGACGTTTAACTCGGCTTAAAATTCAATTTTAACGAATAAATCCTTAGTACAATAGTGATTCCTCTAGATGGCTGGACCGCTCTTAACCTTTGTGTAACCAGCGTTAACCAGAAGCTGGTGCGGACACTGTCGGGCCGGTCCAAAACCAATAAGTGAGTACGACTTTTGAGAGGTTTGTAGTGTTTTTAAATTCATTTGGCATTGATTCCTTTAGTTCACATCGATGACAGCAGAGTAAGTTTAATCAAATCTTCTCGTCAGCAGCTACGATTTCACGAAAGATTCTTCGAGATGTAGAAAAGTTTTAGCAAGTTGATCATATTTTTGTACCTCGTTAATTCAAAAAAAAGTTATCTACTGCTTCTTGATATGATTTTTAATTTCGTTTATTACAGAAAAACTGAACTGGAAAATAGATATTATTGACTATTATTATTATCAAAAAGTATTTAGTTTCAATAATCAACAGGAACCAAGAAATGTGGAAGTTCAAAACTATCTTTAAGAAAGCAATGTTTCATGAAATCAAAGCCTCGACTAATTTTTTCATTTGTAGTGGATAAATGAGGCCAATCTGATTTAATTTCATTGTAATTCCTTTCGACGTAACATTTGATTGATCGTCCATTTCTTTTACAATAATCATCAACGATATCAACAGTTCTTTTAGTGATTGTAGGCCAATTCTCAACATTAAGTAGCACTAAATTTGGTAAAATTTGAATCAATTTCTCGACATGTTCATCATTCATGCCACGGGGCTTCCTCAACGCAAGATGTTTGAGATTCGGATATTTCATCAACAATCTTTCTAAATCATTCCAGTTGATTCGTTTATCGCCAAACTGTAAATATAAAATCAATTAGTTTATATAAATTAATTTTGCAAGCAGATAATTCAGCCATGTTGACGAAGCCTACCCTGATTTATTAGAATTTAGAATGTTTCTAAAAAAGTAATTAAATTGCAAAGTGAATTAATACTTACAAACTGTATCACTAAATCCTGCAAACATTCATGTTTTACTGTTTCATCAACAAAAAAGCGATTGCATTCCATGGTAATGAAGGCACTCTGTAAATTTGGACATAAATCCATCAAATGGAAACCATGAAAACCTTTCTGATCATCGGAATATAGTATAAGTATTTTAAGCTTTTCAAATACTGAAACTCTTGACCCTTTGTTTTTCCCTGCGGATGAACGATAGAATTTCTATAAGCAAACGATTCTTACGAAAATATATTAGATTATTATTACCTTTCATGTTAATTGAAGTACGTAGTAGTTCAAGATTCGGGAAATCATGAGCATATTTTTTGACATCCTCGACAGAAAAATTTCCAGTGTACAATTGTTTTATATTGGAAGCATTTTGTATTTTGCTTAACTCATCTGAATAGGTGGATGTCATTTCGAGTTTATTACAATATTCTGAAACTGGATAGCCATTTTCATCGATTATTCCTTTCAAAGATTCATGATTTCTGACAAATGAAACAATCTCACTTCTTTTCATTTTATTTTCCAATCTATATGTGAATTCCAAAATCTGAGTGGATGAGAGAGGATAAAAGAATTATGAAAATGCAGAAAGAAATTTGATTAATAATACAAACTTACTGTTAAATTTGGAAATAATGTGTTCAAACAGGTTACATCGATTGGGTTTCTTCCTCGATAAAAAACACAATCCCATGGATAACGAAACAAATCAGAATAATCAGAATCGTCCTCGTCGTCATGTTCATAATCATCGGTCTGCCAAGGATCCTCTAAAATTTAAATTTAAGCAATTAATAAATTGATCAAAATGAGACAAAGGGGAAACTTGAATCTTACCCAACAAATATTTAGCTTTTTTAGTCCGCTCAGCAATTAAATAGCTCCATCCAACACACACTGTAATGAAATATTTAATTAAAAAATTTAGTATAAGTTTTTCTAATCATTATTCAATTGCCTTCAGAACAAAGACATTACTTGACATCTGTAAAAGATTCAAATAATGCGCCTCAAAATTAACAAGATTGAGTGATGTAAAGTTCAGAAGATAGCAAAAGATATGCGAATAAGATGAAACTTTTTCAACAAATTATTATCAATAGCGATCAGAGTCCGAAGCTAATTTACTCATGCGAGACTTCAGAAAATCATCTAACAATAGGTAGTTTAAAAAGTAGCGATTATCGCTGGAGGAATGCAAAATGGTGTGTGTAACTAGAAATCTACTCTTGTAAAATTGAAAATGAAATTAGATTTGAAAGGGTCATTGAAAAACTCTGATTGGAAGTGAAAAAAAGTTGAGTAGGATGTCGCGTTCGGTCACAACTAGTGATTGAAAGTTGGAAAATTTTTTGGTGGTGTCTCTCAAACCGACTTTGACATTGTTAAATGTACTCCGGATCAACAATTGCGACAATATAACGCAAGAACCTACACCGGTATCCTTTTCAAACTTGATCTTATGCTAGATATAATTGGAAAATATTTTTAATTTTACAGGAGCAGATTTTTCGGCACACACCACTTTCAAAAGAAGCAGACGATCTTCATTTAACACAATAAACAGAATTAGTAATTACCTTTGTAGCAGTTTATTAGATCGTCCAGGTCATTCACATATTCAAAAATGGCCATCAAACAATCATCAGGAAGTTCGTTGATCAACATTGTAAAACAAAAAATTATCAAAAATAAGCCAAACAAGAAGCTTTTCCTAGAATCTGGTGATTTTCGAGAAAATAGTGAAAGATTTAACTGTGAATCACTTTCGGTACATTGTTAGATGCATTTGATATCGTTTCCTTTAGTTAACATAGATGTCAGCAGTGTAACGTGAATTAAATCTTCTGCTCAGACTTTGAATTTTCATTTTCATCTTTTATTTTGATTTTATAACAATATCTATAATTTATACACAGGCCAGAAACTGATGCGATCAGTTTTGGTTGTGAATTTCAGTACGAACAGCCAATCCTGACTGGAAAGAGCTTGAAAAAACCATCGTCTCAATGAGAAATTCAGAATTCAGTTCTTTCCCCAACAGATCTTTTCTGTAGATCTATCGTTTCATGTACCAATGTTTACGGAGGTGAAAAATTAACTTTGCCTCCAAAATTGAAATTTTACATCAAGTCGTTTTCATCATTGACAAGCCGTGCCATGAAATCTGCCAGATAACCTCATTCACCTTCTCACCTTACAAATAGACAGAAGAATTTCTGTTTCAATGAATTTAAATTTACTCATTATGTTTGCTGAATCAAGGTATTACTAGAGTTTCTGAGGTGGAATATTCAAGTATCCAATATGCTTATGCAAGAAAGTACAATAAGAAACATTTTTAAAGCGATTCACTGATTGAAATTGTTTATAGCAGAGATCTTTCAACTAATTTAATTTTGAAATATCAATTTAACACTATTTAATATTTAACAGCAAGTAAAATTTCAAGAAAGATTCTTCGAAATGAAGAAAAAGGTTTTGCAAGTTATACCTCTATACCTCAAAAAAGTTATCTGTTGCTTGTCAAATTGATCTTTAGTTTTATTAAATAGAAATATCTTTTAAACGGAAAATAGATAATATTGAATAAGAAATACATGAATATTAAAAAGTATGTGATTTTCAATAATCAATAGGAATCAAGAAATGTGGAAGTAAAAAATTATCTTTGAGAAAGCAATGTTTCATGAAATCAAAACCTCGACTAATTTTTTCAATTTTAGTGCTGAAGCCAATCTGAGGAAAGTTTGATTTCATTTCACTGTAATCCTCTTCCTCGCAATAATTCATTGATAGGCCATCTTGTGTGTCTTCCTCGCATTCATTAACCTCGAATAGTTCTAAATTGGGTAAAATTGAAAGCAATTTTTCGCTATATTCATCTTTTAAGCGAAGATTCCTCAATGCAAGATGTTTGAGATTCGGATATTTCATCAACAATCTTTCTAAATCCCTCCAATTGATTCGTTCATCTTTAGACTGTGAATAAAAAATAAATTAGTTCATCTTGATAAATTTTGAATGCAGATAACCCAGTTGACGGAACATAACCTTGTCAATTTTAATTTGAAATGTATCTGAATAAATCTTTATATTCTGAAAGTAATTAACATTTCAAATCAAATAAATACTTACAAAATCTATAACTAAATCTTTCAAACATTCGTGTTTTACTGTTTCATCAACAAAGAATTGATTCGAATCCAGGCTAATGTGGGCACTCTGTAAATTTGGACATGAATCCATGAAATGGAAACCATAAAAAATGTTTTCGTTGTTACAAGTAAATTGTGAAAATAGAACAAGTATTTTAAGCTTTTCAAATACGGGGAATCCTAACATATCGCAATTGCCTGTGGATGAACGATAAAATTTTTATTAGCAATTATTTCTCACGTAAATATATTAGATATTTACCTTTCGTCCTAAAAGACGTTCTTAGTAGTTCAAGATTTGGAAAATCAAATGCATATTTTTTGACATCCTCGAGAGAATCATTTCCAGTGTGCAATTGTTTTATATTGGCACAATTTGGTATTTTGCTGGACTCAACTGAATAGCAGGATAGCATTTCGAGTTTATCACAATATTCTGAAAGTGGATCCAAACATCCATCGATTATCCCTTTCAAAGATTTATGATTTATGACAAATGAAACAATATCAGCGTTTTTTACTTCATTTTCGATGTTATCTATAAATTGAAAAACCTAAGTGGGTAACAAAAAAATAATGAGAAATGTATAAAGAAACTTGATTAATATTAATAATATAAACTTACTATCAAATTTGGAAATAATGTGTTCAGACAGGTTGCATCAATCGAATCTTCTCCTTGATAATAAACACAATCAATTGGATAATGATACGGATGAAATTCAGGTTCGTCTTCGCTGTGATCATAATCAGGTGGTTGTTGAGGATCCTCTGAAATTATAAATTTAAGTGATTAATAAGTTAAATTGATTACAATGAGAAAAATCATTGATGAAACTTGAATCTTACCCAACAAATATTTAACTTTTCTAGTTCGCTTAGCAATTAAATAGCTCCACTTAACACAAACTGTAATGAAATTTTATAAATTAAAAATTTAGTGTTCGTTTGCTCAATAAATATCCAACTGCCTTCATACATTGCGAACACAACATGACTTGAAATCTGTAAAATATTCAAATACTGCGCCTCAAAAGGCAGAAGATTGGGTGATGTAAAGTTCACAAGATAGCAAAAGATATTTGATTCAGAGGAAACTTTTTAAATTAATTATTATTATTAATACAATCAGAAACCGAAGCTAGTTGCCTCATGCGAGTTTTTTTCGAATCGTTTCGGCAAATAATCTACTAATAACTGAAGGAATGCAAAAAGGTGTGTGTCACTAGGAATCGACTCTTATAAAATTGAAAATAGACTTAATTTTCGAAAGGGACATTGAAAACTATGATTGCTAATGAAAGTACGTTGAGTACGATGTCTCGTTCGGTCAAAACTGCGATCTAAAGCTGAAACAATTTTTGATGGTTTGTTACAAACCGACTTACAATTGATTCTGTAAAATGTGCTTTGGACAAACACTTGTTTCGATGTAACGCAAGAAGCACTGACCATATCCTTTTCAAACTTGGCAATTTAACACAAGAACCATGAACGAGTCCTTTTCAAACTTAGTAATATAATGGATGAAATTGAGACATATTTTCAATTTTACGAGAGTGGATTTTCGGGACACACCACTATCAATGGAAGCAGACGATCTTCATTTAGCACAATAAGCATGATTTTTAATTACCTTTGTAGCAGTTTATTAAGTCTTTCAGGTTATAAACATAATCAAAAATGGCGAGTAAACAATCATCGGTAAGTTCGTTGATCAACATTATAAAACAAAAAATAAAGAAGAATTGGTGATTTTCGCGTTAAGAGTTAAGATTCAACTGTGGATCACTTAAATTTTTAAATCCTTTGACATTGTTTCATTTACTCCACATAGATGTCAGCAGTGTATTGTTAATTTAATTTTCATTCTTAATTTGTTAGATTCTGAATTGATTTGGTATGGATTTATTGGTATTCTGATATGCAGAAAAAATGCACGAAAAAACTTATTTTTGTGCATTTGAAAAACGAGTTAAGAGTTAGAAGTTAAATTACATTTGCCATGACGAATCGAACAAGTGTTTCAGGCTCAATAGATCAATTCAAATGTTATGATTAAATGCTGAGATGCAGATGTTGGTAAAGATGAAATTATAAACAGTAATTATAATATTAGAGAATCATTTTCAGAATTTTCTCGCATGGTTCTTCTTCGCAATGGAATGGAAAATGTCTGGAGGCATAATTCATTTCTTTTATTAACAGAGCTTTGCTGTAGATCTATCGTTTCATGTACAACTGTTTACCGAGTTAACAGTTACCTTTGCCTCCAAAATTGAAATTTTACATCAAGTCCTATTCATCATTGACAAGCTACACCATGAAATCTGCCCGATCACCTCATTCACCTTCTCACAAATATCAACAATACGCTTCGTTCGCTTTAAACGATATAAACCTTTAAATATTATCTTTAATTTCATCAAAAGATGTGAAATAATCTACTAGGCAAGTGGATTTTTCACGACCAATATTACAGAATCACCTCGAAGAAACATCTTATTTATAAATCGATCCTTTGTCACCGGTTTACTTTTTTTCCCTGACTTGGGGTACTCAGTCCAAATTTCTTTCACTTCCTCCATAACCATGTTGAGATGCCGATCAAATGCCTTAACACGACCAAGTAGCTTTTTATTGTTACGACAATTAATCAATACCTGCGTATTGTTCCTTACAGCTTGTGTTAAAATAACCAATGGGCCAGTTTGAAATTCTTCTTCCTCCTTTTTGGCTAATTCCTCGGGTGTCATTTCACTTTTAGGTTTTTGCGATCCCATTTTGTTTGCAAAATATAGAAATTTCAAAAGAAAGTCACTGCTGTAAAATAAATGAACAATAACAAGTATAAGTTTAAGATTAGATTAAATTAATTAATTAAACGTATTTCAATACTTACATTAACAATAAAAAACGCACAATAGGTCAAAAATTGTACCCAAAATTTCAAATTACCAGAAATTGATGATCACACAATGGTCATGAGTTAGTTACTGGTAACCTAGTAACTGGTTTACAGTGAAAAAATGGCAAAACCAAAGGAAAAGGCAAGAGAATCATATTTACCGGTAAAAACGGTTCTCTTTACTGTTACAAGATGGCGCGAAAATGGTACCAGCGCCACCTTGTGAGGTTAGAGGAGCCAGAAAAAAACACAGATGAACAGTAACTAAAGCATAACATTGTGTTATGGTTGTAATGATAAACAAGAGTAAGCTTTTTGATTGTTTTTGTTAATAATCTTTAATTTGATTTAATTGTCAGCTCATCATTTCTTTTAATAATCATAAATTATTGTTAAATTTAACGGTTTTATCATTGTGACCCTTTTCCTCGGACATCATTGTGTTGTTTTCATCTCTACATTACATCTTCACCAATGTTCCAACATACAACGGAACCCAATACAAACAATGACTCGAGGAGAAATGATATTAGTGAAATTTTACAACAGATAATTAACATAAGTGACCAAAGTTTGGATGAGGCACAAGCCCGGAAACACACACTCAATTGTCACCGAATGAAATCGGCCCTTTTTCACGTGTTATGTGAGATAAAGGAGAAAACAGGTAAGAAAGGCGCTCAATAGTCTTTTGCAACTTTAGTTGACCTTTACCTAAAAATGTAACAAGAGACTGCACGACGAGGTAAAGGGTGAACAATGAGTTAAGGGCTAACTAAACATCTTGCTGATAGATGGCAATGAACAAAAAGAAAGGCAAAGAAAGAGAGAAAAATTAAAGAGCAATTCTCTCTAATTCAAAGTTAATTTTTTATAATTTTCACATTTCTCTTTTCCTAGCTTCCTTCATTGCCCTCTATCAGCGAGATTTTAAGTTAGCCCTTATCTCATTTTTCACCCCTTACCTTGTCGTGATATCTCTGGCTCCTCTTTGGTTGCCACATTCATTCACTAATTCGTCTCTTTGATTCCATCAATTATCCATGAATAAAAAATACATAATTATTAATGCAAACAAAACCGAAATTATGAGATCATCTCGAAGTGGATTTAAAGGCAATTTTTGACTCTATTATAAGTTGAATTTACATTGGATTACAATCTTGCAAAACAGATTGATATCAGAGTTTAGACTCATGAGAAAATCATGAAAGAAGATGCAACATGGCAAAACAGAATTCTCGTAGTAAATTCGTTCCTTAAAGGTGATAAATGCTCATCTATGGAAATCGAAATACATTTACTTCAATACATTGTAGAGTCTTTTACTTTCCAAGTTTTACTGAAGTATTTCGGAATAGTTTCGCCAGTTCGATGTCTTTTTTGAACTGGATTTTCCAATAGCGTGGTTACATGGATTGATTGACTAGTAACTTGGTCGTAGTAAATGGATAAGATCAGTTCTATAGTTGTTAGAAACGTAATTAGGTTTGTTTGATAATCTTAATGCAAGAGATCAGTCAAGTTGATTGGTTTAGGCAAAGTATGGTCAAGTTGGTTATGTCACTGCTTAAGGTCTAGTTAGGTCTATCATTTTTAAGTTAGCCCTTATCTCATTTTTCACCTCTTACCTCGCTATCTCTTGCTCCTTTTGCCTTTGCCTTTATTCAATTGGTATGATAAAGTTGAAAAAAAAGGTGTGATGATTGTCCTAATCATATGGTTGTGGAACCACGAGATGTTTAGCCATCAAGTCATCATTATTATTACCATTTGTAAATGTAATGGCACATCCACACTTATTTAAACCTTATTATACACTCACGCAAATATAAACATACACCAACACGCACATTCACGCTCACACAAATAGTCACAAACACACCTATTTGTTTCTCTTCATCTTGAGCTTCCTTTTGTTTTTTTTTCTTCTGTCTTTCGTTTTTCTCTTAGTTTTGTTGGCCTCTTGTCGCTTTCCAATTGGAAAGTTGATTATTCAATGAAAACGGAAAAATCTGTGAACAAATTTTCTACTCCTCTTTACCTTATTAAACTTTCTTTAACTATTTATTTTCTCATCAAAATCAATCCAAGACCACTCTTTATTGATGGTGCATAACATGATTACCAAGGTTGATATAACAATATTGTTTCCCTTTTTTTGTGTAACCCTCGATGTAATGAGCAACAGTTATCATGTGTAATTATGTAATTTTCAAATTATTACAACGATGTCTTGTTGTTGTCGCTGTTGTCAGTTCAACTCTTGAATGTTACTTGACAAAATTGGTGATTACTTTCTTGGTAATAGCATTTACCTTAGGTTACTCCATTGAATTACTTCAACTGTTTTCCCGGTTCACAGGTTAAACTTTACAGTCTAACTCTATTGCCTTGTCTCTCTGTTGAACTTGCATTATTAGGTCATTTTGTCCTTCTGTTATGCCAACAAACTGATAATACTTTTACCATTCACGTTGACTCATGCTGACTATTAATGTTTCAAGTTGCTTTTATCACAATAAAATTTCCACTCAAGTGTTGAATGATGAACAAGTAAAGAAACATGTCAAAAATGGCCTACTCTCACAATTTTATCAAACTAATTTTTTCCAGTGCAAATTGTGTGTTGAATCCAAAAAGATTCATTTTTAGCTGGTCACTGGTTATGGACTTTACTAGAAAGATGCTTATTAATCATATAAATGCCTCTAAGATGAGTAGGTTGTTCAACATTTATGCAAAGTAAAGAAAAACTTCTATTTTGATTATAAATACTGGTTACAATAACATGGTTATCCATGATGATTTCACCAACTTAAGATATGATAACTTATGATAAGATGTGTTGATATAGTTACCACTTGTTATAAAGTGCTCTAAATAGGACTAACGATGTGTTTGTTTTACGGATGAGAACTGAATATAAGACAAATTAGTGAAGAGTGTTTCTGTTTTTCTCATTATACTTCCCTTTAAAACCTGAGAAACACCAGTTTTTGCTAAAAAAGTCGGCATATGGCGATTTGGTTTGGTCCAACTTAGCCAATCTTTTAAGCTTTTAAGAAATAATCTCTTAAGGTTACAATTTGAAAGTAAAAATTAGAGAGCTGAAATTTATCATCCGTCGATATAAATTGTGGGTACACATCAATGATCCAACATTTTTGATTCAGTTTATCGACAGTTCTCTTGATTTTGAGTCATTGGCCTCATAACTTTGAGTCTCAATATTTCGAGAATGATACCTACACTCATCATTTTTTCAATCAATCATTTTATTACGGACTATAGCATATGCCTATGGAAAAATTTTGATCAAGTTCTGAGAGTAGGCCATTTTCCGTATTCTTTCCAACGTCATCCTTTACCTCCTGTGTTTTCTGTTTCCTTCAAAATCAGACGAAAAATCATCAATTGATTATCAAAATTAGTGTTGAAGAAAAGTTTGTTTTTTAATGCAAACACACAAACTATAAATAGCTCAGAACTCGAATTTTTCAAGTTGATTTTGTAAATTCTTGAGATCCAGAATGAAAACTATCGATAAGTTTTTAAAAAAATGATATTTTCCACTGGAGTTGTTGCAATCTTGAATGCAAGTTGAACCAATTGGATACGAATTGAATTGTATCAGAACGAACCTTCATTTTATTCAATGGAAAATGCTGACAAATAAAAAATTGATTTAATGATCAAAAAACTTTTCTCTTATTTAGAGCACTAAAATTGAGGTCTTTTTGTTGCGATTATTGACACCTTTGCAGTTTCTGTTTTTTCTTCTGGTCAACATTTCCTTCTTTCCAATCATGATTAATTCAATGTGATAAGAGAGTCAGATGGAGATTGGAAAAGCTGTAAAAAAAGAGAAAGAACTTTTAGTTTATGATGATGATAGAGAGATGAGTGTAGATGAAAAGGAGAAAGTGAAAGAAAGAAAAGAAAGGCAAAAAATGGATGTTATGATAGATTGATCTGTAATTTTGTTTACATAGTAACATATGTATTATTGGTACCTGGACAAAGATGATTGATGCTACTTTTACTGATGCTTGTTACAGTTCATGTTGAGAGTTTCTTGTTGAGCCTGTGTTCAGTGTTGCTCAAAATTTCATGTTATATCAATTTCACTTGCCTGTGTGTGTAAGCCTCTTCATCTCCTTCACCAACTCATGTTTTGTTTTTAATTTACTTGTAACTAGTAATATTAGTCCTTAAAATGTAACTGCAAACTTGAGGAAACAAACAAACAAATAAAACAATATTAAACACATGTTTTTTTTCATCAAAAAAAACATCATTTACTGTAAAGAAAAGGCAAGTTTCATCTTCAATGAACTAATGAAGTTGATAGGAAACTATTGATCTTTTTAGCGATAAACATTGAACACCATGATTGACAAAAATAGCCTCATCTTTAACTTTCTCATTTCTTCTTGTTTCATCCCTTTCTCATCATCACCTCAAGTCTTTCTAGTATTAAATGTTTCTTGGATGAAAAAGGATGAGGATAGAGTGAAAGGATAAAGAAGCAACTTCTGTCTCCATCAACTTTATCATCCATGGGATTTATCCGTTTGCACATGAATCTATCTTGTTGCCAAAATATTATCATCAAAATGGCCTACCAGTTTAGTCTATCCTCTTTTTATGTTCATCCAGCCATTATTATCCTCTTTCTTTCTCATGTTCCCTTGAATATAATCTGAGTATTTCCCTGTTCTCCTCGGTCCTCATCATTCCTCTCAGACACATTGTTTTATATCACCCACGACAACAATGATTGCCTGTGCAAATAATGTTTTTTTAATCTCACTTTTCTTCTCTTCATTATCTTCATCTTTTACTTTCCTTAAAAAAAAGTTTTAAAATTAATTACCGCTTCAAGGTAATTTGCATATTGAAAGAATCTTGTAAATTCTTTACAAAACTCCATTCATCAATTAAACTCTTTCCCTGTGTGTCTCATGAACATTCAAATATTATTATCCAATGAATATGTATTTCATTGGGATGAATATAAAGTATAATAGATTAATCAGTAACAACTTATTTAGAAGCATTCATTCCCTAAAAACTGGAGGAAAGCAAACAGTTAAAATGTGTCAACGTGAAAAAATTTCAAGTCAATGATGAAAATATTCATAATGTTGTGCTTTTTATTCTCAAACTGTAATCAGTTTTTCATGCTAATGCAAAGGGAGAGAGAAACAAAAAAAAGAGGGAAAAAGCTTTTTTAAAGTAAAAGGAAAAAACAAAACAAGTAATAAAAAATCAGTAACAGTATATTGAGTTTCATTGTTAATAATTATCAAATGTTATTATTATTTAACAAGGATTGTGCATTTGTCTCCTTGAGTCTGTTTTTTTGCTTGCTTAGCTTTTCATTGTTCAAAAGGCAAAAATTAACAACACTGATGATGATGATGATGATGAGAATGAGGATAAAAAATATAATGAAAGGTTATTTGACTCTGTTGCTATTCAAGAGAAGGAAAAGTAAAAAAGATTGAGTTGGTGATGATGGTGATGATAGTGATATTAAGATGAATGTCTTCACAATGAGAAGTTATATGGTGAAGTGAGAGAGAGCAAGAAGTGGGTGAGTAAATGATGAAGCAGAGATTGAGTAAAAGATGAGAAGATGAGAGAAGATGAAATGGAGGA